GTGGTGGTTGTTGGGTTGTTTTGTGGTTTTTTGGTTGTTTTGTGTTTTAGGTTTTTATTGTGTTTGTTGGTTTGTGTTAGTGTTTTGGTGTGGGTTGTTGGGGTGGTGGGTTTTTTTTGGGTTGTTGGTTTTTTGTTTTTTTTTTTTGGGGGGTGGGTGGGGTGTTGTTGGTTGGGTTGGGTGGGGTGTTTGTTATGTTTTTTTTTTTTTTGTTTTTTTGTTTGATGGTTTTGGTTTTTTGTGGTTTATGGTTTTATTTGTTTTTTGGTTTGTTTTTGTGTTGTTTTTTGGGGGGTGGGGGGTTGTTTTTGTTTTATTGGGGTTTTTGTTTTGTTGTGTGGGTTGGTTTTTGTTTTTTTTTAGGTTGTGTTGTGTTGGTTTGTGGTGTTGGTGGTGGTGGTTGTGGGTGTTGGGGTTTGGTTGGGTGGTGGTATGTTGTGGTGTTTGTTTTGATTTTTGTGTTTTGTTTTTTGTTGTTGTTGGTTGGTGGGGGGGTTGGTGTTTTGGGGTGGTGGGGTTGGGGGTGTGTTGGTGGGTTTTTTTTGTTTGGTTGTTTTTTTTGGTGGTTTGAGTGTGTTTTGGATGTGTGGTTTTGTGTTGTTTGTTTTTTTTTTGTGTTTTTTTTGTTGTATTTGTTTTTTTATGGTTTTTTTTGTGTTGTATTTTATTGGGGGATTGTTGGGTGGTGGTGTTGTAGGTGGGGGGTTGTAGGTGGGGTTTTGTTGGAGGGGTGTGTTGGGGTTGTGTGGTTAGGGTTTGTGTTTTGGGTATGGTGGTGGTGGGTTGGGTTATGTGTGTTTGTTGGTGTGTGGTATGGTGGTGGGTTTGTGGGTGTGATGGGATGTGGGGGGGGATTAGGAGTTGATTATAGATAGGGGGGAAAGGATTATGGATAGTGGGGTTTGAATATGTTTGTATATTAATTAATTAAGATTGTTATTTTTATAATTAATGATAAATTTTAGATTTGGTAGTTTGGGTTGTTGTGGGGTGTGGTGTTATTGTTATTTTAGTGGGTTTTTTATTATTTATATGTGTGAATGGAAGATTGGTGTTTGTATGAGTGTGTTGTGTTGTTTAATTGGTAGGGTTAGTTTGTGTTGAGTGTTGAGGGTGTGTGGAGTTTGTGATGGTTGAGGGTAGGTTTTGGGGGATTTAATTGGGGGATTGAGAGGGGTTTGGGGGTTGGGATGTTAAAGGGATTTATTAGGGGGGGTTTGGTTTAGATGAGGATGATGGATTTAATGGTAGGGGAAAGGGGGGAGTGATTATTTATATTGAGTTAAGGGGTAAGGTTGAATATGGGTTATAGATGAGGGGTGGGGGGGGGAAGGAGATTAATGATAGTGTGTTTTGGTGAGGTGTGGGTTGAAATAATTTTGGATGGTGAGGATGGGGGTTTGTTAGGGATGTTGTGTGATTGGAGGGTGGGGTGGTTTTGGGATTGTTGTTGTTATATATGGGTTGTGGGGATGGGGATTATTAGATTATTGAGAGTTTAGGGTGGGTAAGTAGTATTTGATTTATTTGTTTATATATTATATATAGTGTGTATGGTAGATAAGATTTTTTTTATTGATTTTAATTAAGGTTGTTTTTTTGTTGTATGTTGGGGTTATTTAATGTTGGATTAATTGTTGAGTTGTGTGGGTTATGTTTTTTTTATGATTAGGGTTATGGGTTAATGATTATATTATATATGTGGTTGTGTATGAGGTAGTGGTATGGTTAGTGATGTGTTTGTTGTTTTATATTTTTGAGGTAGGGTAAGGGGAGAATTTTTGAGATTGGGGAAGTATAATAGAGGTTAATTTGGTGAGATAGTAGAATTAATTTTGTTATGAGAAGTAGGAGGGAGAATGGTTTAGAAATGTGATGGAAGTATGTAAGGAGTATGGGTTTAGAGGATGGTGATGGAATGTATTTAAGGAGTAATTGTTTAGAGAATTGATTGGGAAGTAGGTAGAAGGAGTAAGGGTTTAGAGGGGAATGTTGGAGAGTTTGAAGTGGAATGTTAGAGATTGGTTGTGTTTGGTAGAAGGTAATGGGGTTAAGGAAGTTTGAAGTATGGGTAGAGAGGTTATGGTTTAGAGGTATGGTGATAGTGGAAGTAGGGATGTGGTTTGTTTAAGAATGTTGATGGAATGGTATGTAGAGTGGTAATTTTAGAGAAGGATGGGATGTTTGTAGAGGAGTATTGGTTTAGAGGAAGTGTTGATGGAAGTATGTTGAGGAGGTATTGGTTTAGAGGTATGGTAGGAAGTATGGTAGTGGTGTAATGGGTTTAAGGAATGTGATGGGAATATGGTAGGGATGTATGGGTTTAAGGTAGGTTGGGAAGTATTAAGTAATGGGTTAAGGAATGTGGAATATGGGTGAGGGTTATGGTTTAAGGGGAATTTGATGGAAGTAGTGGTAGAGGAGGTGTAATGGTTTAGTGGAATTATGGGATGTTTATGTAAGGAGGTAGTATGGTTTAGAAATTATGGAAGAATGGTTTAGGAGGTAATGGGTAGAGGAATTTGATGGGAAGTATGGGAGAGAGGTATGGTTAGTGGATGGTGTTGGTAGTTGGGTAAGGATGGTTTTGGTTTAAGGAATGGATGGAGATGATGTAGTAGTGAAGTTGTTGGGTGAGTGGAATTGAATTATTTGATGGTATAGGGGTGTGGAGTTGTTTTGGGGTTTGGGATGGGGGGGATGTGGTTGTGTTTTTTTGTGGTGGGTTTGTTGTGGTGGTTTTTAGGTTAATTGGTTGGGGTGGTTAGGATTAATTTGGGATAGGATAATTAGTTGGAGATTTTTGGGAGTTTGAGTAGTGAGTTTAGTAGTGTGAGTTTGGTAGTTATAGATAAAAGTGGATGTAGTGTTGTTAGTTTGTTGTGTGGGATTGTGTGTGGTGGTTTTAGTATTTAGTTTTGTTTGTAGTATATTAGTTTGGTTTGTTGTGGTGGGTTTAATGTTGGTTTTGTTGGAAGTTGTAAGTTGGTGGGTGAGATATGTTATAAGTTATAGAAGGATTATTTATTGGTAGGTGTTAGATGATTTTTTGTTTGGATTGATGTAAGTGATTATTTTTTTATGATTTTTAATGTTTTTTTTGGGTGAGTTAATTTTTTGGGTTGGGTTTTGTTTTTTTTTTTTTGGGATTGGGGGTTGTTGGTTGTTTATTTTTGGGTGAGTGGGTATAGGGATTTATGAATTGGATATGGTAGTTTTTTGTTTTTAGTTGTTGTTGTTTATGTGTGAGTTTTGATGGTGTGTGTTGTTGTGTTTGTTGTGTGTTGGTTGGGGTAGTTTGTTATTGGATTTTTTGGTTGGTGGGATTTGGTTAGTTTTTTTTGGGTTTGGTTGTATTTTGTGAGTGGTGGGGTTTATGGTTTTTTTATGTTATTGGGTAGTGGTTTTATGGTTAATTTTTTGATTGGTGAGTGTTTATGGGTTTGTTTTTGTGTATGTTGTGGGTTATGGTGTTGTTAGTTTGGGTGGTGTTTTTTTTTGTATTGTGTTGGGTGAGTGTGTATATGATATATTTATTATTTGGGTAGTGTTTTTTTTGGTTAATAAGGATTTGGGTGTGGGTAGAAGGGATATTTTATATGTTGGGTGGTGTAGGTTGTTTGGATGGGAGGTTTATGGTGTAGGGTATTTTTGGAGGGGTAGTTTGTGTGTTTTTAGGGTTGGGGGTGTAGGTGTGATTTTGGGTGTGGGTGTTTTTATGGTGGATGTTTGGGGTTGGGTTTGTGAGTATTGATGGGGTTGTGATGTGTGGTTTGGTGATGGTTTTTGTTTTTGTTGTTTGTGTTGGTTTTGTTTGTGGTGGGGTTTTTTTTGTTGTGTGTGTTTTTGTTTGTGTTTTTGTTTTGTTTTGTGTGTTTTTGTTTTTAGTGTGTTTTTGTGTTGTGTGTTGTTTGTGTGTTGGTTTGTGTTTGTTGTTGTTGTTGTGTGTTTTGTGTGTTTGTTGTTGTTGTTTGTGTTGTGTTTTTGGTTGTTTTCTTGTGTGTTTGTGTTGAGTGTGTTGTGTTTGTGTATTTTTTTTTGTTTGTTTTTGTTTTGAAATGGGAGTAAAGAGAATGTTATATGTGTGAGTTAGTTGATTGTTGTTTTTAATGTGAGTAGAGTGGAGTGAGTGAGAGGGTGATGTATGTGGGGTTTTTTTTTAGTGTAATATGGGGAATTTTTATGGAGATTGGTTGGATATTTTGTGTGTGGTTTTTGATTTTGTTTTGTGTGGGAGGTTGATGTTAGGGGGGTAGGTGTATTGGGGAGATATTTGGGTAAGAATAGATGATTTTGGTATGATAATATGGTAGGATAATTGGATATGATTAGAAATGAGTTTGATTTTAGGGTATGATTATAGGGTATGATAATTGGGTATGATAATAGGGTAGGATAATTGGTATGTTTGTTGTAGATAATGGATATGATTATTAGGGTATGATTATAGGGTTATATATAGGGGGTAGATAATTGGATGATAATGGGGTAGGATAAATAGGGTATGTTAATAGGATATGATTAAGAGGGTATGATATTAGGGTATGATAAGAGGATATGATAATAGATATGATTATGAGGATATGATAATGGTGTGATGTTTGGGGGAGGATGTTGATGTGGTAATGGAGTATTTATGTAAGGAAGATTAGTTGGAGAGGAAAGGGTGGGGGGTGGATATTTTTTGTATGTTGGTATGTGGGAAAGAAAAAATTATAGGGATGTTATGGTTATGTTTATTATGTGGGTTTTGGGGTTATGGTGTGGGTTTGGTTTGTGTTTGTTGTGTGTAATTTATTATTTGTTGTGTGTTGGGGTGAGGTTGTGGGTGGTTTTTGTTTTGGATGGGGATTGGTGTAGAGTGTGTGGGTTATGGGGGTGATTTATGGGTAGATATATAGATAGGGAATGATTATTGGTTGTGGAGAAGGTGATAATGGAAATTTTTGGAGAAAATTGATTTGTGTGGGTTTATTGTTGGATATATTAATTGAAAGAGAATGGGTATTTTTGGATGGTATGTGATGGTGAGTGTGGTGTGTTTGTTGTTGAGGGGTGGTGTTGGTTGTGTTATTATTGGGGTATTGGTTGTGGGGTGTTTGGGTTTGGATGGTTGGTAGTTATGTGTTTGTTTTTGTTGTATTTATATATTTTTGTTGTTGTAAGTGTAATTTTTTAATTTTGGTTGTTTTTGAGAGTTAGAGTATGTTTTTTTGTATTAGGTGTGGGTTAGTGTTTTATTTAGGATGGTATTTTAAGTAGGGATGTTTTGGTGTGTTTGATGTGGGGATGGAGTGTTTATTGGGTTGTTTGTTGTTTTGTTTAGTTTTTTGAAAGTTTAGAGTTAGAGAGTTTAAGTAAGAGGGAGGTTTAGAGTTAAGAGGGAGGTTTTAGAGTTAAGAGGAGGGTTTAGGTTTAATGGAGGTTTAGTTTAAAGGGAGGTGAGAGTTAAAAAGGTTTAGAATTTAATGGAAGGTTTAGATTTAAAGAGGGTTTAGGTTTAGAGATGTGTAGTGTTTTGGGTGTAGAGTTTTGAGTGTTTTTGGTAGTGTGTATTGAAGAGGTTTAGAGTTATAGGAGTGTATAGTTAAGGGAGGTGTAGAGTTGAAGGAGGGTTTAGAGTTATGAGGAGGTTAGAGTTGTAGAGGAGGTTTAGATTATGGAGGGTTTAGATTAAGGAGGTTTAGATGTTAAGTGTTAGTTGGAAGTGTTTAGTGTATATGAGTTTAGTTTGATGTAGGTTGAAGTTGATAGAGGAGTTTAGATTGAGAGAGTTTTTTTTTGAGGTTGTTGTGTTAAGGAGGTTTAGAGTTTAGGAGTAATGTTAAAGTGGTTTAGTATTTAAGGAGGGTTAGAGTTAGAGTAGTTAGAGTTGGTAAGAGGAAGGTGTTTGTGTTATGTGAGGTATTATGTGTAGGTTGTATGTTTTGTGTTTTGTGTTGTTGGGTGTGTTGTGTTAGTAGAGGGGGAGAGTTGTTGTGTTTTGTGTGGTTTGTGTGGTTGGGTTTTGGGTGTTTGTTTTTGGGGTGTGGTTATTAAGTGTTTTGTTGTTTTGGAGGTTTGAGTTGTGGTTTGTTAGTAGTGTTTATGTGTTGTTTATGGAGGTTTAGTTTTATTGTTTTTTTTTTTTGTGGTGGTGTAGAGTTATAGGAGGTTGTGAGTGAAGGAGTTTGTGTTGAGAGGAGTTAGAGTTAAGAGGTTTGAGTTTGATGGAGGGTAGATGTTTAGTGTGGTGTTGAGTTTTGTGTTTGTTTGTATAGTGTTTGTGTGGAGTGGATGTTTTGTGTTTTGGTGGTTTGGTTGTGTTTAGTTTTATAGAGTGTAGAGTGAAGGTGGTGTAGATGTAGATGGTATATGGTTTAGGTAGGTGTATTTTGAGGTTTTTAGTTGAGAGGTGGTTTAAGTTGATGAGATGTTAGTTGTAGGAGTAGATTGGAGAGAGGTTTAGAGTTAAGAGGAGTTTAGATTTGGGTGTTTAGTTTTAGTAGGGGTGTTGGTAAATGGATGTTTTGTTGATGGTGGGTGTGTGGTGTTGTGTTGGGTGTGAGTGTAGAGTTTGTAAGAGAGGGTTTTGTGTTGAAGAGGAGGTTTAGATGGAATGGTGTTTTGGTGTTGTGAGGTGGTTTATGAGTTAAGGGGGTTTATAGTTAGAGGAGGTTTAGAGTTGGAGAGGAGGGTTTAGAGAGTTAAGAGGTTTAGAGTTGGAGAGGTAGGTTTTAGAGTTAAGAGGGTGTTTAAGTTTATATGAGAGGTTTTAGTTAAGAGGTTTTAGAGTTGAAGTGTGTTGTGTTAATTGAGGTTTATGTGGATGAGGAGTTTAGTTGTTTAGAGGTGATATTTTGTTAGGAGGTTTTGATGTGAGGTGGTTTTGAGATGGTAGGTTTTAGAGTGAGAGAGTTTAGAGTTAGGGGAGGTGTGTTTTGTGGTGTGTTTGTTGTATGAGTGTAAGTAGGTGGTTAGTGGTTGAAGGTTTATAGGTGAGAGGAGGTTTAGAGTTAAGGGTGGTTTAAGTTGTAGTGGTGTTTTGTGTTAATGGTTTTGTGGGTTTGGTTTGTGTTAAATTGGGTGTTTAGAGTTTGGAGGGTTTAGATTAAGGAGGTTTAGAGTTTGGAGAGTGGTTTTTGTGATGTGGTGTTGTTGGTAGGGAGGTTAGTGTGATGTGTTTAGTTTTGTTAGTTTGTGTTATGGGAGGTTTAGATTGAAGAAAGGTTTAGGGTTTAGAGAGGTTTAGAGTTAAGGGTAGTAGAGTGGAGAGGAGGTTTTAGTTAAGAGGTTTTAGTTTTTGGATTTTAGTTGTAGTGAGGTTTAGGTAAGGAGGTTGAAGTTGAAGAGTTTTAATTAAGAGAAGGGTTAGGGTAAGGAGGTGAAGGGTTGGTGGTTTGAGTTTAGGAGGAGGTTTAGAGGAGGGGGGAGTGATATGGGGGTTGTGGGAATGGATGGGGGGTTTAGTAGAAGTTAGAGGTTTTGAGTATGGATAGATATGATTTGATATAAGATTTTTTTGGGGGTGGGTGGTGTATTAGTAGTTGGTAATGAAGTAGTTTTTGATGAAGGAGTTAAGATGTTGGAGTATGATATGAAGGATATAAGAGGTTGAGTATAAGAGAAAGTGAGATAATGAAGGTGGTATATAGGATAGGGTGTTATAAGATAAGTGAGTATTAGTTAAGGTGTAGGGATGAATGAGATATTAGATGATAAGATATATATGGATAGTATATGTTGTAGTGTGTGTTGAAGATAAGGATATAAGATAAGTGAGATATAGATGAAATGTGGTGAAGTTGAAAGAGTTTTAAGAGGTTGAGTATTAGTTTAATGAGTTTTTTTGAATGAGATAAGAGAAGGAAGTATAGATGAATGAGGATTAGATGAAGATTAAATGGAAGGGAGTATAAGATGGAAGGATATGAGATAAAGTTTTTGGAAGAGGAAGGAGTAGAAATGGAAGTTTGGTAGTTAAGGATATAAGTTAGGAGTATAAGTTGGTTGGAGTATTGATGTAGGATTAAAGAGGAAGTTTTATGAGGGAGATGTATAAGAGAAGGATTGGAGAGATGGGAATATATGGGGGGATATGTTGGTATTGTGTTTGTGGTTGTTGTGTTTTTGATTGATATTTGTATGATTAATATAGATTTTGGGGGGGTGGGTTGGTTTGGGTGGTTGGGTGGGGTGGTTTTTGAGGTTGGATTGTTTTTGGGGTGTTTGGTTTTTTGTTTGGGTGTTTGGGTGGGTTTGTTGGGGTGGGTGTTGGGGTTGGTGGGTGTGTATATGGGGTAATGGGTTTTTGTAAAGTGTGATTATTGGGGGTTTATGTATTTTTGGGGAGAAGTATGAGTTTTTTAGTTTTTTGTGTTTTTGTTGGGTGGATAGTGTGGTATTGGTTTGGTTGGTAGTGTTGGGATAAGTGTGGTAAAATGGGAGTGAGAGGGTAGGAGTAATGTTTGTGTGGGGTTTTTTTTGTTTATAGTGGGGGTTTATTTGGTTTGTTGGTTTTGTGGTTGGGGAGTATTAATTTTGATATATGGTTGTTTTTTTTTATTTTGATGTTTTATAGTGATTAGTGTTGATTGGGAGTGGATTTTTTTGATTGGTGGGAATGGGTGGAATGTAATGAAGTTAGTTTAGTGGGTGTATTATATGAGGGGGGGAGGTTGATGTATGGAAGTATGTGGTGGTGTTGTATATATATATATATATATATTGATGGGTGATGTAATTGGTTGATGATTGAGTTTAGTAAAGAAGATGTATGGATGTGTAGGGGTTTGGTATGTGGGGGTATGGGATTTTTTTTTTTTAGTGATTGTGTTTTTTGGTAGGGGTGGGGGTTTATGTTATTTAGGGGGATATTATGGTTGTGGTTGGTGTGGTGTTTTTTAGTTGATAGTTTGGGTATATTTAGATTGGGATGGAGGTTATTTATATTAATAAGTATGGAGGTGGATTATGGTTGTTTTGGGGTTTTGTTGGTGTAGTTTAGTTTGGGAGATTATTGTATGTTTGTTTTGGTTGTGGTGTTATTTTGGTTGGGTTGTTGTTTTGTTGGGTTATATGGATGATGTGTTGGGGGGGGGTGGTTGTGTTTGTTTGTGTTGGGGGGTGTGGTTGGGATTATATTGATGTTGTTTTTTTTTGTATTTTGGTTTATTAATTTTAGGGTTTTGTTGATTTTTTGTTGTTTGTGGTGAGGGGTTTTATGTTGGGGTTTATGTGGGTTTTTGTTGTTTGGGTAGGTTTATGGGATTTTTGGTATGTGGGGTGAGTGGTTGTTGGTATTGTGGGTGATGGATGAATGGTGATGTGGTTGGGTGTTGGGGGGGGGGTGATATGTTGTGTTTTTGGGGGGGGTGGGGGGTTGTGGTGTTTGTGGTGGTTGATGGGGTGTTTGGTTTGTGTGGGTTTGGGTTGGGGTTTGGGGTGGGGGTGTTTTGGTTTGGGTGGGGGGTGTGTTTGTGTGGGGGGGGGTGTGTGGGTGGAATTTTTATTTGGGTGATATTGGTTGTTTTTTTGGTGTTGGGGTGGTGTGTGTGGTGGGTGTTAGTAGGTTTGATTGGGTTGGTTTGGTTAGGGGGGTGTTGTTTTTGTTGTTTGATTTTTTTGGTGTGTTGTGTGTATTGGGGTAAGTTGGCTTGGGGTTGTGTTGGTTTGTTTTTGTGGGTAGGGGGGGGTGTGGTGGGGTTTGGGGTTATTGTTGTGGTTGGTTTTTTAAGGTGGTATTTGTATGAGGTGGGTTGGGAGGGTGTTTTTGGTGGGGATATGTTTTGGGGTTGGTTTTTGTGTGTTTGGTGTGTGGTATGGTTGTTTGTGTTTGTTATTGGGTAGTGTTATAGTTGAGGTAATAGTATGATGTTAAGGTGGAGGTGAAGATTGTGGATGGAGATAAAGTGTTGATATTAGTGGGATTTTTTTGGTTGGAGTGGGTTAATGGTTGTTTTGGGGTGTTGGGGTTGGTGTTTGTGTTGGGGTGTAGGTTTTTTTTGGGTTGGTGTATTTGTGGGGGTGGTTGTGTTTTTTGTGGGGTGAGGTTGGGGTTTGTTGGGGTGTGGTGGGTGGTTGGGGTATGTGTTTGGGTGGTTGTTGGGTTGTGTTTTGTTGGTGTTTGGGGGTGGTGGTGGGTGTTGGGTGTGGGTGTTTGGTTGTGGGTTGGTGGGGTGTGTGGGGGGTGTTGTTGGTGTTTGGTGGGTGGTTTGTGTGGGTTGGTGGGGGGGTGGGGGGGTTTTTTTTTTGTGTTTGTGGTGGGTTGGGTTTTGTGTTTTGGGGTTGTGGTTGGTGGTGTGTTTGTGTTGTTGGTTTTTTGTTTTGTTTTTTGGTGGTTTTTTTTAGTTGTAGTTTTTATATTGGATGAATGTGTGATTTTTTTTTTGTTTTTTTTTGTGTGTGTGTTGGGTGGTGGGGGGGGTGTGTGTTGTTGGTGGGGTGGTGTTGTTGTGTTTTTGTTTGGGGAGTTTGGGGTTGTTATGTTTGTTGTTTTTGTGTGAATAGTATAGTGTGGTAAATTTTTTATTTGGTGTATGTTTGTGGTTTTGGGATAGAATAGTATATTGGGTTGGTTGGTGGGGGGGGGGGGGGGGGGGTGGGGGGGGGGGGGGGGGGGGGTTTGTTGGGTGAGGTGGTGTGTTGGGTGGTATTTAGTTGTTTTATATATTTGGGTGGGGTGGGGTGGTTTTGTTGGGGGGGGGTGGTGGTTGATTGGGGGTTAGGTGGTTTGTTTGTGTTTGGGTTTTTGGGATGTTTGGGTGAGTGGTTTTTTTTTTTTTGGTGGTGTAGTTTTATGTAGATTTTTGGGGGGGTTTGTGGGGGGGGGGGGGGGTATGGTTGGGTGGGTGGGGAGTGGGGGTTGGTGAGTTGTGTGTGGTGGATGTGGTAGTGTATGAGTGTTTGTATTTGTGGTTGTATATGGGTTGGTTTGGTGTTGTGGGTGAGGGGTTTTGTGTGTTTTGGAGGGGATTGGATGGTTTTTGGGTGTTTTGTGGTGTTTAGGGGTTGTTTTTAGTTTGGTTTTTATTTGTGTGGTTGGTTAATGTTTGTGTTGATGTGTTTATTGGGTTTGGGTATATGGTGTGTTTGGTGGGTGTTGTTGAGAAGTTTATTTTATGTTGGTGTAGTTTAGGGTAGTTTGGGTGATTTTTTGATTGGATGGTTGATTATGTGGGTGTGTTTTTATTTGTTTATTTAAGTTATGTTTGTGGTTTTATGGGGTGTTGGGTGGTGTGTGGTGGGGGTTTGGGGTGTGGTGGTGTTTGGGTGGTGTTTGGTGGTTGTGGTGGTGGTGGTTTTGTTGTGTGGTGGTGTTGGGTGGTTTTGGGGGTTGGTTATGTGGGTTGGGGGGGGGTGGTGTGGGGGGGGGTGTATTATTGGTTTGTGTGGTTTTGATTGGTAGTGGGGTTGTTGGTGGGGTGTTGTGTGGTGGGGGGGGTGTGTGGGATTTTTGGGTTTGTATTTTTTGGGGATGGGTGGTGTGTGGTGGTGGTGGGTTTGGTGTTTGGGATGGTGGGTTTATGATGGGTAGAAGTTATGGTTTATCGTTGGTATTTTATTTGATAGTGTATTGATATAGTAGGTTATTTATTTTTTTTTTTTTTATGTGTTTTTATTTTGATTGGGGGTGGGTATTTTTTTGGGTGTTGGGTTGGGTGTTTTGGGGTTTTTTGAATTTGGGGGGTGTGTGGAGTGTGTAAGAAAATGGGGTATGTTGAGTAATATGAATTTTTGTTTTGGTGTTTTGAGTTTTTAAGGTTATGGATATATTTATGATTAAGTTAGTGTTAAGGGTAATGATAGGAGATATGGTTTTATGTTTGTTAGAGATGATGATATTATTGTATGTAAAGTAGTATTAATTTTGAATATATAAAAAGAAGTTGGAAAGTTTAATGAAAGAGAAGATGTGAATTTTATAAAGGAAAATTGATATATTAATAAGGGAAAGATTGAAATATTGGAATGAAAGGGTAAATTGAAATATTAATGAAAGGAGAAATTGAAATATTAATGAAGGAAAGATTTAAATATTATGAAAGAGAAGTGTAAATGTAATGAAAGAGAATATTGAAAATAATGGAATGGAGAAGATTGGAAATATTAATGAAAATGAGATTGAAATATATAAGAAAGAGATGTTGTAATTTAGGGTGAATAATGGGTTGGTAAAATAAGATGGAAGGTGGGATAAGGGTGGGATAAGGTAGGTTAAGAGGAAAGAGAAAGTGATAATAGGTTTGGAGAGTTTGGAGGGGGTAGATGTAGAGGGTAATTAGAAATTGGGTTGATGAGAGTGTAATGGATGGGGTGGGGGGATAGAAAGAATTGGAAAGAGGTTGGAGGGGTTTAGAGGGAGATAGATTGTTTAAGTTTAATTAGAGGGGGGAGGGATGAGATGAAGTATTTTAGATGGATGGAGTGATTTTTTTATTTTTGAATGGGGGAGATAGGTGTGGGTATATGATTGAGGAAGTTGAAAGTATATATAGTTGTTTATTTTTGAGTTGATTGATGAGTGAGTAAGTTAAGGGGAGGGAGAAGAGAAAGATGAATTAGTAAAATAAAGTTGGGAAAAAAAATAAAGGATAATAAAGAATAATAAAGATAAATAAGGAGAATAAGAGGGGAAAATTAAAAGATTTGGGTAGGAAATTTTTAAATAGTATTAATAATATTTATGGTGTAATGAGGAAAAAAGGATTATTTAAGAAAAGAATTTATTGAATTATTAAAAAATGATAATATAGAGTAGTTGGGGAATAGAGTAATTGTTTTGAAATTTGGTGAGTATATATTAGATATGGTTTTAGATTATTGTGATTAGAATTTTTAGTTTGATTGGAAATTGTGTTTGAAAGATTATGAAAATGTGTGGAGTAGTTTGTTATGATTATGGTGAGAGTGGGATATTATGTTTGTAAAGATTTAGAGGTGGAGGTTATGGGGGAGGGGGGGGGGTGTGTGTTGGGGGTTGTTGTGAGTTAGGTTGTTGGTTGTAGGGTTTTTTTGTTGGTGGTTTTGTGTTGTATATGTTAGTAATTATGTTTAAATTATTGGTTGTTGTAGTGGTGTTGTTTGTTGGTGTGATTGTTGGTGGTGTGATTGGGATGGATTTTTGTGTGGGATTGTGTGGGTAGTTATAGTTGAATTAGGGGGGTGTATTTTGGTTTTTTTAGTATATAATAGGGGTGTGAGTTTGGGGGGATTTTGGTGGTTTTTTGGGTGTATTGTGGTTGGGGTTTATGAGTTGATTGGAGTTGGTGGTGTTTGGGGATGAGTTGGGGGGTGTATTTGTTGTTGATTTTTGTTTGTGGTTTGTTTGTGGTGTTTGTTTGGTTATTATGGTGTTGGGGGGGGGTGGAGTTGTGTGAGTAGTATTTGTATGTAGGTGGGGGTTTGAATTGTTTGGGGTTTTTGGTGTTTTTTAGGTGTGTTTAGTATGGTTAAATTTAGTGGAGGTTAATGTAGATAGGGATTTGTGGGTTAAAGTATAGGGGGATGTATAGGTTGAATTAGTAGTGTAAATAATAGGTGTAATTATAGGTTTAAGTGGAGTTATATGGTTAATTAGAAGTGTGAATTAGTTGGGTTGAGAATTAGATAGTTAATTAATAGGGGGGATGTGGTAGGTGAAGTATTAGGTTAAATTAGATAGGTTTAATTATGTATTTTGGTGTAATTATGTAGGTATTTTGATGGGTTGGTGAAGTGGGGAGTGTAGAAATAGTTGTTGTGTTAGTTTTGATATTTTTGTGTGGGGTTAATTAATAATGTTTTTTGAGGGAGTGGAGGGGTATGTTAATTTTGTGGGTATTGTGGGATTTTGGTAGTGTAAGTATGTTGCGTGGATTAAAGATAATGATGAGTAGTTGTGTTAGTTTATTTGGGAAGTATGATATATATATAATATAAGAAATATTTATTGGGATGTATGTGGGTTTTGGGGGGGTGTGGTTTGATTTATATTTTAGTGAGTTGGGAGTATTATGATGTTTGATTTTAATTTTTTTTGGATGGGGTAATGTTATTGAGTGTTGTTGTTGTTGTTGTTGTTGTTTGTGGGTGGGTGTTGTTGTTTGTTTGTTGGTGGTGGTGGTTGTTGGTTTGTGTTGTTGTTTGGTTGTGGTTTTGTTTGTTTTGGTTTGTTGTGGTTGTTGTTGTTTGTTTTTGTGTGTTGTTGTGTTGTGTGTTTTGTGTTGTTGGTGTGGTTTTGTTTGGGTTGTTGTTTTGTTGTTTGTTGTGTTTGTGTTTGTGTTGTTTTTTGTTTTTTGTGTTGTTGTGTTTTGTGTTGTTGGTGTTGTTGTTGTGTTTTTTGTTTTTTTTTGTTTGTGGTTGTTGTTGTGTGGGTTGTTGTTTGTTTGGATAGGTATTTTTTGGGTTGTTTTGTGATGGATGGTGTATGGGGTTGTTGGGGTGGGTGTTAAGGGTTGTAATTTGATAATTGTTAGGTTATTTGGTTTTTTGTGTAGTGTTTGTGTTGTTGTTTTTTATGAAAAGATAAATATTTTTATGATTGTTATTTTGTTTAGGGGGTTTTGTTTAGATTGGGATTATATGTGGGAATTGGTATGTTTTTTTGTGTGTGTTTTGGGTATGTTTTTGGGTTTGTGTGGGGGTTGGGGTGGGGGTTTTAATAGTGAGAGATATTGGAGATGGAATAGTAAGTGATGTTTGTTTGGGTTTTGTGTGTTTTTGGAGTATTGGGGGGTGGGTTGGATGTTTTTGTGGTAGTATGTATGGGGGGTGTGGTTGTTGGTTGTTTATTGATTGGATAATGTTTAGAAAAGAGAAATTGTTTTATAAGTGGTGATGAGTTTGTTTGATTATATTTGGGTGGTTTTATTGTGTGTGTGGTTGTTTTTTAATTTTGTTTTGGGGTTTTTTATTGGGTTATTGGAGGGTGTTTGTGTTTGTGGGTTTGGGGTTGTTAAGTGGTTTAGATGGGGGATGGATTGGTGTTGGGGAGTTTGGTGGGTTTTTGGGGGTGTGAGGGGTGTTTGATTTGGTTTGTTGGTTTTTGTTGGTTTTTTGTTGTTGAGTTGTTGGTTATGTTTGTTTAAGTGGGATGTTAGGGTTTAGGTTTTTTATTTGGTTAGTTTAGTTGGGTGTGTTTGTGGGATTTGTTTTGTGTTTTGGTGTTTGTGTTGTGGTTTTGTTGTGAGATGTTTGGGGGGGGGGGGGGGGTTTGTGTGGGGTGGTTTGTTGTGATAGGGGAGGGGTGGTGGTAGTGGGTGAGGAGGGGGGGGATTTTGGGGTGTGGGTTGGGAGTTTTTGAAGTGTTTGTTAGGGTTGTAGTGGTGTTTGTGAAGGGGGTTGGGGTTTGGGGGATATGATGGTTAGAATGATGAGTATGAGTGAGTGTGTAGTAGGGATGAGTAGTAGTGAGTGAGTGTTGAGTGAGTGAGTGAGAGAGTTTATGAGTATGATAGTGATGAGTGAGGTGAGTAGTGAGGAGTGAGTAGTGAGTTAGTGATGTGTAGAGAGTGATTTGTGTGTGTGGTATTGTGTGAAGGATAGGTGTAGGGAGTTGAGTGATGTAGAGAGTGAGAGAGTGAGTGAGAGGAGTGAGATGATATGAGTGAGTTGTAGAGTGATGAGTGAGGAAGTGAGAGTAGGTGAGTTTGTGGTTTAGGTGGGATAAGGTTTATGTGAGTGTAGGTTGAGGTGGTGGGTTGGTGTAGTGATGATTGTAGATTGTGTGTGGTGTGATGTTGTTTAGGGAGTGGGTAGTGAGGGGTTTTTTTGATGTTTAGGGTGTTTTTTTTTGAATTTTGGTTTTGTAGGATTGGGGAGGGGGTATTATAGGGGTTTTGATGTAGATTGTGTGAAAGGTGTGGATTTAGTATGTTATGAGGATTTATGGGGTGTGGTTTTTAGAGTTGTTTTGGTGGGGGTATTTTTTTATTGAATAGAGTTAGAGAGAATATGAGGGATTGAATAGAAGATGAGTATAGATAGTAAATAGTAGTTAATAGGTATAGGTGGATTGTGTATTATTGGGGGTGGAATTAGGGAGTGTAGTGTTTTTTTATGTTAATTTAATGAGGGATGTTGAGTTTGTGAATGAGTGGGGTGTTGTTAGTTTATGATTATTGTTAGTGGTGATGGTTTATGGGTTTGGGGTGAGTTTGGGGTGGTGGTGTATATATGAAAGATGGATAATTGAATGTATTATGAAATAAGTTTAGTAGAAGGTGAAGTATTTTATGTAAGTGTGTATTAAGATAAGTGAGTATAAGTATGTGATATTTAGATGAAGTAGTATAGATGAAGGTGTTTTAAGGGGTTATGGTATATTAATGTGTGTATATTTGTATAGTTTTATTATTAAGATGAGGAGTTTTTAGATGAAGTTGTTTGATAAGGTGAAGTGATATAAATGTGTGTGTTTTTGGATGGGAATTTTTTTATGATGATTGATTTAGATGAGGTTATTTTTAAGGGTAGTGGGTATAAGGTTGTTGTTGTGAGTGTTTGAGGATTGTGTTAAGTGATTTTTTTTTTTAAGATAAGGTGTATATGATGAAGGTGGTTTTGGGTAGTGTAAGTGATAGGTTTATAAGATGAGGGAGTAGATTATAGGTGGATATAAGGTGATATTGATATGTATTTGATGAATGTGAGTAGATGATGAGTTTATTTTTTATTTTGGTTTTTTTTGTTGGGTGTATTGTGGTATGTTTTTTTAGGTGGTTTGTGGTTGATGGGGTAGGTTTTTTTTGAAGTGAATTTATGATGATATGGAGTTTAAGGTTGTGTGTTTTTTAATGAATGGGTTTTTATGTTGTGTTTTTAGATGTTGGATGTTATTATGATGAAAATGGTGTTAAGAGGAGGGATTGGAAATGAATGATTTTTAGTTGGAGGAGTGAGGTGGTGGGTTGGGTTGTGTGAGTGTAGTAGTGAGGGGGTATATTGGAGAGGGGATGATTTGTGGGGGGTGGGGAATGGTTTTTTTTTTTATTTTTGAAAGAAGATTAAGGAATTTTAGGTGTTATGGGGGTTTGTTTTGGTGGTGTTGGATGGTATATTATTGTGTGAAATGTGTAATTGTGTAAAGAAATTGTGAGGTGAAAGGAAGGAATAAAAGTAGATAGTGGGGGGGGTTTAGGAAGTAAAAGATGAAGAAATTAAAATGATAGAAGGAATTAGGATGAAGAGGATAAATTATTATAAGAATAGATAAAAAGATATGGAGAAAGAAAATGAATGAAGTTTTTGGATTGGTTATTTAGAGAAGATGAATGAAGATAGTAAAGGGGGGGGGGGAATTTTAAGAGATTGTAAAAGTTTGTTTGAGTGATAAGTGGGTGGGGGTAATATTTTAAGAAATATTAGGGTTTAGTGTTTTTTTTGTGTTGTGTGAATAAGGTGAAGATTATGGGGAGGAGTGAGAGTTAGAGAGGATATGGATAGTGGGGTATGATTTTATTTGTGAATTATTTAGAGGGGGTGTGTTGGTTTTTAGTAGTTGAGGAGATTGAGGGGATAGTAAATTTTTATGTGGGGTGAAGGATAAAAGTGTATTGTATATTTTTTTGTGATTAGATAAATGGGAATGTTTTGTATAATTTGTTAATGTTTGGTAAGAGAATAGGGTTATGGATGTATTAATATGGTATTATATTGGGTATAAGGAAGGTTGATGGTAGTTATTGTTTGGTGGTTGGTTTGTTTGTTATTGGTGTAGTTTGTGTTTAGTGTTTATGGTAGGTAAGTTTATATTAAAGGAGGATTGAATATATATTAGAAAAGAGTAAGTGTATTATTAAAGAAGAGTTAGGTGTATATTAGGAAGATGAAGATAAGGTGTAATTAGGAAGAAGAGGTAAGTGTGATATTAGGAGAAGAGTAGAGGTTATATTAGGAAGAAGAGTAGAGTTATATGTAGAAGATGATAAGTTATATTATAAGAAGTAGTAGAGTTATATTAAAGAAGAAGTAGAGTTATATAAATTAAAGATGAAGTATGGGTTAATGAGAAGAAGAGTAGAGTTATATTAGTAAAGGAGTAAATGGATATAAAGAATAAGGAGTAGATGTTATATGGTAAGAAGATGAAGGTAAGGGTTAATGTAGAAGCAGAGTAGAGTGTATATTAGAAGAAAGAGTAGAGTTATATTAGGGGGGAAAAGATAATTATTATTTATGGGTAGTGGGATGTGGATGATATTTTTAATGTGTAATAAAATGTTTTGTGAAGGTAAGAAAGTTTGAGATTTAGTGAAGGTTTGATTTGGAAAAAAATATGTAGGGGGTTGGGGGTAGTGAGTATGGAAGAAGATGATGGAAAATATGAGGATAGTGTGGTGATAATAGGGTTATGTTTTAGAGGGGTGGTGTGGTGGTGGTGATGGGGTGGTGGGGTGTGGATGGTTGTGGTAAGATAGTTTTGATATTTGAGTGTGTTTTAGGGTGATGTGGGTTTTGTGTTGTAAAGGTTATAGTTGGGGGTTGTTGGTATGGGGGGTGTGTTAGTTGAGAGGTTTAGTAAGATAGGGTTTATTTTTTTGGGTTAGTGGGTTGTTGTTGTTATGGTTTGGATAGGTTTGGGTTAGAGGATATGGGTTGATAGATTATTTTTTGTTTTTGTATTAATGAATGATTATTATTTGTAATAAATTTTTTGGTGAAGGGATTTGTGTAGGTTGGTAGTATATAAAGGGGGGAAATATTTATATGATTGTGTTTTTTTTTTGTAAAAATAGGTGTTGTGAGTAGGGTGATGGAGAGGATAGGGTGGGGGGGTGATGGGATGGAGGGAGTTAGGGTGGTGATGGAGGGGGTTGATTTGGGTTGTTGGGGTAGGTAGGGTTATGTTTTTGATTGGAGGTATGTTGTGGGTTGTTGTGTGAGGGGTTTTGTATGTGTAGTTTGTTGTGGTTGAGTGGGAGGGTGGGATTAGGGGTGGTATGTTTTGGTTGGAGTTGAGAGGTGGTGAGGGTTTGGTGTTGTTTTTAATTAGTTGTTGTGTGGTTTGTATGTTTTTAGGGGGGGTTTAGTTGAGTTTTATAGGTTAGTATGGGAGTGGTAGTAAAAGAAGAAAGTAGATATGGTTTTTTGTGTTGGGGGTTGGTTGTTTGTTGTTTGTTTTGTTTAGTAGGTATGTTTATTTTGATGGTTTTGTGGTTTTTGGGTTTTTTTTATTAGAGTGGGTTAATTTGTTAAGATGTGGGGGGATGTATGTGGGGGAAAGGGGGTGGGTGTAGGTGGTGGGGGTATGGTTGGATTTGAGTTTGTTTTTAATTTAGAATATGTTGAGTTGTGGGATAGATTTTAAGATGTGGTGAGAGGTGGAGTGGGTGTTTAGTGAATGTGGGTTGGAATGTTTTGTGATTGTTATATATATAATATATATATATAGATTTATATTAGATATATAGATATATATATTTATTATATTATATTTTTAGTGTGATTGGATTTGAGTTATTTGTTATAAAATTGAGATATGTATGGATGAGTATTGGGGAGTGTGGTGAAGGGGAGGGAATTGATTGAATTTTGTTTGGTGGTGTATTTAGAGTTGTTTTAGGGGGTGTAGTATGGGTTATAGGAGGGAGGGTTTTGGTGGATTATGGGGTTGATAGTTAATGGTTGATATGAGGGGTGTTAAAGGTAATTGTGTTGGTTGAGGAGGAGGATTTAGTTGAAGTTGTTATTTTAAATGAATTAATGATAAAAGTGAGGTGGTTTGGATAGAATAATAGTAATGAAGTTATGGGGATGGAGAATAGAAGTAAAAAAGTTGGGAATTTAATGTTTAAGAGGTTTTGTTAATTAGAGATATGAAGAGAGTATGAATGTAAGGTATTGGTTAATATTAGGGGATAGAGAAATTAATAATTGTTGTTTGGGGGGTGGGGGTGGGGTTGTGGTTGGGGAGATTTGTGGGTGGTATGGGTGAGTTGTTTTATTTTTGTATAGGGGAGTTTTGGGTGTGTGTTTAGGGTTGTTATGTTTGTTATATTTTTATGTTAAGGATAAGGGGGATGGGATGGGGGGGGGATTATTTTGGGGTAAGTTGTAAAGGATTATTGTTTAATATGATGTGTATATTGGGAGGTGGGGGGGATGGATGTGAAGGGTGGGGATTTTTTTGGTAGTGGATGATTGGTGTGGGGGGGGGAATTGGGTGTTTTTTTGATTTTTTTGGAGTGGTATTATAGTATGAGAGTTAGTAATGATTTTGAAGGTTATAGATGGGGGGTGGTATATGATTAATTTAAATGGTATAATTAGGGGGATGTAGATTGGAATAATGGAGTTTGGGTAGTTTAGAGGAGAGTTAGTATGGAATTTTTGTTAAATTGTGTTTAGTTTGGGGTTGGGTTGAAATTTGGTTTTTGTATTTATTATGATGTTTGTTTTTTGTAGGGTGTGTAAATTTAAGGAGGGTGGTTTGTTATTTTTAATGGTTGTTTTGTTGGAGTGTAGGGTTTGTTTAGATTGATGATAGGTTTGTTTTGGGTGGGGTGTTTTGGTAGTGTGATTATTTGGGATAAGTGGTGAGTATGGTTGATTGTGGGTGTTTTGGGGTGTTTTTTTTTATTTGGATTGGGTGTAGTGGTGTTTGGGTTAGGTTGGTGTTTTTTAGTTTGGAGTGGATGTATAGGGTAGTGTTGTGAGGGGGTTATGTAATATTTTGTTGATTGGTGGGTTGTTGGGGGGGTGGTTGGGTGGGTGTGGGGGTGGGGTTGGGGGGGGTGTGGTTGTTTTTTTTTGAGTTTTGTTTTTGGGTGTGAGTGATTGTGGAGGGTTGTTTGTTGTGGTGTTTTTGGGGTTTGGGTTTGGGGGGGTGGGTTTGTGTTGGTGTTTGTTGGTTGTTGTTGGTGTGTGGTGTGGTGTTGGTGGGTGGGTGGTGTTGTGGGGTTTGGTGTTGTGGGGGGTTTGGGGTTGTGTTGTGTGTTGTGGGTTGTGTTGTGTTGGTGGGGGTTGTGGTTAGGGTGGGTTGTGGGGGGTGGGGGGGGGTTGGTGGTGGGGGTTGTTATGGTGGGTTTGGGTTTTGGGAGTTTGTGGATTTGGGTTTATTGGTTTGGTGTGTATTGTTGTGGGTATGTTTGGTATGGTTTTGGTTGAATGGATTTATGGTTTTTATATGTATAGAAAGAAAATTTATAGAAGATTAGATAGTTTGTGTAGTAAATATGGGTGTGTTTTAAGGGTGATGTTTAGATAGTATATTTTTATAAGGGAGGTGAGGTGGGTTATTATAAATGAATAAGAGTTGATGAAGTTTGATGTGTTAAGTGATAGGGGTAGAGTTATAATATTTTTTATATGTGTTATAATATAATAAGGTGATAGGATAGAATATATGTGAGGGATAGAGTGGTAAAGTTGGTTTTATGGTAGAGGGGTATTTATGTATTTTATTAGTGGAGGTGGGGAATTTGTAGAGATTGGTTTTGATGTTAAGGAGAATTGGTTATTTGTAGATATTATAGATGATGGTTATAATGGTTGGGAAGTTGATGTAGTGAGAGTTGATGGTAGATTATATTTTTAATTGAAGGTAGTGTATATTGGGAAGATGTATTTGGTATTTTTTTTGGTTTTGAATAGGGGTTTGGGGTATTTAATAAGTGAGGGGGGGGTGGATTGTGGGGGAGTAGGATTGTTTATGGAGGGTATGATGATGTAAGGGAATTAATGATGTGTTATGGGTGGGGATGGTAGTAGAGTTGATTGTTATGTGTGGGTGTATTTTTTTTTTATATAGTTGATTTAGATTAGGTTTTAGGGTTAAAGGGTTGGATATGGAGGTTTTTATTGGTTGGGGGGGATGGGTTGGGAGGTGTGGTTAGTTTAGGGGGGAGTGGAAGGGTAATTTGGGTTTAATTGGGTTGAAGTTTTTATTTGTGTTGGATGGAAGTGAAGGATTTTTGGTGATAGTAATTGGGGTGTGTTTTGTTTGTTGGTGATGATGGGGTGGGAGAAAAGTGTATTATAGGTAGAAGATTAAAGGTATTTGGGGGTGGAAGATTATTATTGAGTGTTGATATAATAGATTATATGTGATTGTTATTTATAGGGTAAGATGTTTGGGGTGGAGGGTGTTGTGGGGTGATGTGGTGTGAGTGAGGGTGTTTTTTATTGAAGTATGGTTTAGAGAATAGAGTTAATAATGTAGGTAGGGTTAAATTAAGTGGTAAATCTAGGGGTTAAATGGGTATTAGTTAAATTTGTGTAGGGGGGTTAAGATTAGGTGAGGGTTAATGGAGTATGTGTATAATAAGTGATTTAAATGTAGTAGTTAATTGGATTAGGTTAAATTAGTATTAAATGTATAGGTTTAATTAGTAGGTTAATTATTTTTTTAGGTTTAATTAGTAGGTTAATTTGAGGTTGAATGTAGTAGGTTAAATTATTGGGGTGGTTGAATTAGTAGGGTGGATTTAGTGAGGGTGTGAATGTATAGGGTGTAAATTATAGGGTTGAATTAGTTGGTGATATTTAGTAGGTGTAAATTAGTTGGTGGATGGAGGTGGATAAATTAGTGGAGGTTAAGGTATAGGTTAATTAGTAGGTTAAAATTAGGTATTGAATTAGTAGGTTGAAGTAGTGAGGGTTTATATTAGTAGTAAATTAGTAGGTTAATTAGTGGAGGGTGTGAATTAGTGAGGGGTTTAATTAGAATGTAATAATTGATTAGGTTATTTGAATGAGATAGATGGTGTAGATTTGATTTATAAGGTATTGGGTGAGATGATAATTTTTAATTTAATTTGATGTTTTGGTTTTAGAGTATTGAGTTATATTGGGTTTTTTTTTGGGGTGGTATTATAGAGTTGGTATTATTAGGTTTGGGTATTATAGTTGTATATTTTGGGGTTTATTATGAGGTTTGTTTTATTTGTTGGGGTATTTTATTGTTGGGTTTTATTTGGTGGGTTTTTTTTTGGTTGGGTATTATATTGTTGGGTTTTTTTTGGGGTTGGTATTAATTTAGTGTTGGGGATGGTTTATAGTTGGGTTTTTTTTGTGGTATTAATGTTTGTTGTTTAGTTTGTTTGGGTTTTATTAGTTGGGATTATTGTAGGTTGGTTGTTGTGGTTGGTTTTTTATTGTGTTTTTTTGGTGGGGTTGTTGGTGTTGTTTTTTTGGTGGGTTTATTTTGGTTGGGTTGTTATTTTGGGTTTTTTTGTTGTTGGGTTTTGTTTGGTTGGTTAGTTGTGGTGGGTTTTTTTGTTAGGGTGGGTTTTTTTTGGTTGGGTATGGTTTTAGGTTGGGTATGGTGGGTGGGGGGTTGTTGTTTGTGTTTGTTTTGTTGGAGTGTTTTTGGTGGGGGTTTGGTGTGGTTGTTTTTGTTGGTTTGGTTGGTTGTTTTGTTGGGTGTTGTTGGGGGGGAGTTTGGTGGTAGGTGTTGGGGTTGTATTTGTGGGGGGTTGGGTTTGGGTGGTTGTATTTGTTGGGTTTGTTTTTGGTGTGTTTGTTGTGAGTTTGGTATTATGTAGGTTTGGGTATTTTTATATGGGTGGTTTTTGTTGGTGGGTTTGGGTGGTTGTGTTTTGTGGGGTGTATGAGTGGTGGTTTTTTTTGTTTGTGTTGGTGGTGTGTGGTGGTTTGGTGGGGGTATGTTTTGGTGGGGAGTTGTTGGGGTGGTGGGGTGGGGGTGTGTTTGGTGTTTATTTTTGGTTTATGGTGGGGGTAAGGTGTGGGTGTTGGAGTTTGGGGGGTTGGGTGTGAGGGGTTGTGGGGTTGGGGGTGTTTTTTGTTTTTTGTTTTTAGGTTGGGTATGTTTATTGTTGTTGGTTTTTGGGGGGTATTTTTTGGTGGGTGTTTTGGGTTGGTGGGTGTGGGATTTTTTTGTTGGTTTGTTTAGTTGGGTTTGGGATTTAGTTGGTTTGTTTTATTGGGGTTTTTGGGTGGTTGGGGTTGTTTTAGGGTGGGGTGTATTAGTTGGGTATGTATGTTGTTTTGTGATGTGGGTGTTTGGTGTTGGTAGTTTTGGAGGGGGGTTTTTTGGTGTGGTTGTGGGTGGGGTTGAGGGTGTTGGTTGTTTGGTTGGGGTGTGGTTTTTAGGGTGGATTTTTGGTTGTTGGGTTTGTTTTTTGGTTGGTTTGGGTGTTTGGGTTGTTTGTGGTTGGGTATGTGGAGTGGTTTGTTTGGGGGGTGTTGGGGGTTTTTTTGGTTGGTTTTTTTGGAGGTGTGGGGTGTTGGGTTGGGGTGGTGTGTGGTGGGTTGTGTGTGGGGGGGTGGTGTTTTGGTGGGGGTGTGGTGGAGGGGGTTTGGTTGGGTGGTTGTGGTGTTGATGTTGTGGGGGGTTATGTATAGTAGTGGGGGGTGGTTTTTGTTGGGTTGGTTATTGGTGGGTTTTTTGTTGGGGTTTTGGTGGGGGTTGTTTTAGGTTGGGTAGTATATAGTTGTATTTTTGTTGGGGTATTGTTGTTTTTGTTGGTAGGTATTTTGTTGGGTATTATTTGTTTGGTATTATTGTTGGTATGGTATAGTTTGGTTATTAATTAGGTGGGTTGTATTTGGTTGGGTATAAGGTAGTGGGGATTAGTTGTATGTTAGTATAGGTATGGGGTTGGTTTGTAGGTTTGGGTTTTTATTAGTGTGGGGTATTATTGTTGGTTTTAGTATGTTGGGGGTTGGGGGTAAAAGGAGTGGGATGGTGTGGTTATGTTGTGGTAGGATTTTTGGGATTGGGTGAGATATGGTGTTTGTGTTTGGGGGGTGGTGGTGGTGTTTTGGTTGTTTTTTGGGTGGGGTTTTGGTGGGGGTGGGGGGGGGTTTGTGGGGATTGTGGTGGTGGGTGTAGAGTTGAGGAGGGTAGTTTAGTTTTTGTTATATTTGTTTGGTTGTTTGTTTGGGTGTGTGAGGTTTGTGGGGGTTTTTGTTGGTGTTGGTTTATTAAGGTTGTGGTTTGTTATGTGATGTTGGGTGGATATGATTTATTGTTGGGTAGAGTTGGAGGTAGTATATTGTGATGAGTTGGAGATGGTTGATGGGTTTTGGAGGTTGATTTTAGTGTTGTGGTTGGTATGGGAAAGAAGTAATGGGGTTGGGTTTATTGAAATGATATGGAAGAATGTGGATTATTTAAAGAAAGGGTTGAGGGATTTTGTTGGGTGGAATTGTTAGTTGTGTAAATAGTTGAGAAGAAGATAGATAAGAGGGGGTGGAAATTGGATTGAAATTGAGAGGGAGATTTAATGGGGAATGTAAGTTTAAAAATTTGGAAGGTGGAAGTTAAAGTGTGGAGAATTTTGGATTATTTTGGAGATGGGGTTTGTATTTTGTTGATTTGGATAGGGATATTGGTAGGGGAGAGTTGTTTTGTTGTGGGGTTGTGTTATTGGTAGGGGATGTTTGGGGGGAATATGGTTTTTTGGATTTGGTGTTATTGGGGATTTTGGGGTTGTGATGGGTGGAATATTGGGGTATATATGTGTTTGTGGTAGTTTTTGGGGTTATTTGGGTTTAGTATTTTTTGGTGTTTTAGGTGATATATTGTGTTATATGGTATTTGTGAGATTATGTGTTTGTATAGTGTTATTGGTGGATTATGTGATTTAGGTGGATTTAGGTGATATTGGTGATATTATGGTGGATTTATGGTGTTTTAGATATTTTATTTTATTAGAAGTATTTGTATGGATAGGGATTGATATTGGTGTTAGGTTTTTTTTTTTTAGTTTGTGTGGGTGTTTAGGAGTGGTTTAATTGTTTAATTTTTATTTTTATTTTATTTTATAGTTATTTGTATTTGGTTTTGTTTAATTTGTTTTTGTTTTTATTAATTTTTATTTATAATTTTTTAAGTTTGATTTTTAATTGTAATTTTTTTAATTTGTTATTTTATTTTTTTTTGTTAATTGTTTAATTTGGGTGTTTTTTTGGTTGTGTTTTAATGTTGTTGTATTGGGGTTTGTTTAAGTTGTATTTTTTGTTGATTGGGTTTTTTGGGTTGTGTGTTTATTGTTTAATTTTTTTGAAGGTTTTAAAGTTTTTGTAATTTGTATTGTGTTATGTGTTGTTTTGTTATTTTTATTTTTGGTTAATTGTTTAAATTGTTTTAGTTGTTTAATTTGATTGTTTGTTTAGGTGGTTGTTGATTTTAATTTGTTAAAGTTTGTTTTTTGTGGGGTTAGTGGGTGGTGTTGGGATGGAGTAGTTGTGTGTTGGTTGGATGGTGTTTGTGTGTTGTGTTTAGATGTGGGGTTGGTGTGGGTGTGGGTTGTGGTTTGAGTGTGTTGGTTGTTGGAGTTTGTGTGGTGTGTTTGTAGGTGGGTTTGGTGTGTGTTGGTGGGTAGTGGGTTGGTTAGTTGTGGGTTGTGGGGGGTTTGATGTGTTTTTGTGTGGTTTTTGGGTGTGTAGTGGTTTTGGTTTGGTTGGGAATGGTTTTGTGTGTTGTTTGTTTTGTGGAAGGGTGGGGTGTGGTGGTGTGAGGTGTTGGGAGGGTTGTTTGGTTGTGTTGGTGTTTGTGGATGGGAGGTTTGTGTGGGTTTGGTTGGAGTTTGTGTGTGTTGGGGGATTGTGGTTGGGTGTTTTTTTGGTTGAGGGGGGTTTGGGTGGTGGTAGAGGTTGTTGTTGTTGATTTTTTTTGTTTATTTGGTGGTTGTGGGGGGTTTTGTGTGTTGGTGTGTTGTTGTGGTTGGTGGGGTTTGGGGTTGGAGTTGGGTTTGTTGTATTGGGTTTGGTTTGGGGTTTGTTTGTTGTGTGTTTGTGGTGTTGTGTAGGGTTTTTTGGGTATTTTGTTATATGATATTTTTTTTGTTTTTTGTGTTTTGTTTTATGTGTTGTGTGTGGGAATTTTATAGGGGTTAGGGGAATTGGTTGGGGGTGGAGGGGTGTTGTTGGTTGTTTTGGGAGGTGTAAGGGGGTTGTTTTGTTGTGTGTTGTTGGGTGGTTTTTTGTGTTTGGGTTGGGTTGGGTGGGTGTGTTGGTGGGTTGTGTTGGGTTAGGGTTTTTGGGGGTTTTTGGTGGTGGTTTGTGGTTGGTTGGGTTGTATTTGTTTTTTGTTGTGGGGGTTTTTGTTGTTGGGGTTGTGTGTGTTGTTTTTTTGGTGTTTTGTTTGAATGTTGGGTTTGTTTTTTTTTGTTGTTTTTTTTGTTGTGTGGTTTTTGGTTGGGTTTTTTTGTGTGTAATATTTTGGTTGGAGGGTTGGGGGGTGTGGGGTTGGAGTTGGGGGGTTGTTTTTGGGTGTGGGTTTGGTGTTTGGTTGTGGTTTTTTGGGTTTGTTTTATTGTTTGGTTTGGTGTTGTGTTTTTGGGGTTATGTTTAGGGGGGTTGTTTGGGTTTTTTGTTTGTTTTGGTTTTGTGGTGTATTTTGGTTTATTGTATGGTTGTTTGGTGTGTTTGTAATGGGGTTTTTGGTGTTTTTTGTATGTGTGTGTTGTTTGTGGTATTGTGTAATGTTTGTATGTTTTTGTGATGTTATGGGTTATGGTGTTTGAGGAGTGGGTTTGTTGGGATATGTTTGGGATTTAGGATGGGGGTGGGGTGTTTGTGTATTTGTTGTTTGAGTATGTTTTGTTTTGTTTTGGTAGTAGGTGTTATTTGGGGGATGGTTTGTGTTGTATGGGTATATGGTTTTTTTTTGTGGTGTATTTATTGGTATTGTTTAAGTTGTATGGTTTTGGTTGTTTTGGTATTTTGTGTAATGTGTTAGGTTTTGTGTGTAATGGTATAGGTTTAATTAGTATGTTTGTAATGGGTAATTTGGGTATTAAATGGTGTAATGTATATGGTTTTTAGGTAATTGGGGTATATTTTATATTAGTATGTGTTTGTATGTAATTGGGTTTTTATGTGGTGAATTTGTATGGTTGGTGTTGTAATTGGTTTATGTTTAATTTATTGTGGTGGTGTGGATGTGATAATGGTTGGAAGGTGGTTGGGATATTTAATTTTGGATATGGGGTTTGGTTTTAGTAGGTGGTGGGGGGGTGGTTTATTGGGAGTGGGTTTTGATATTGAGGGTATGAGGTATGGAGTTTTTGGGTGTTGATTGGTGGTTTAGGTTGATTTTTTATGGGGGGAGGTAAGATAGAGTATGTGTATTGTATAAGAATTGTAGAGAGTTGGGTGGGGATTTGATTGTGGGTTAGAGTAATTATGATTATGGGGTTGTATGGTGTGGTAGTGTGTATAGGTTGTGAAATGGGTAGGTTTGGTTTTGTGTTGGTTATTGTGGTTAGATGTTTATGGGTGGGTGTTGGGGTATTTGGGGTGGGGTGGTTGGGGTGGGTGTGGGGGTTTGTGTTGTGGTGGGTGTTTGGGGGATGGGTGGTTTGTGTTTGGTTTGTGTGGGTTGTTGTTTTGTGGTGGGGGGTTTTTGTTTTGGGGTTTGTTGTGGGGGGGGTGGTGTGGTTTTGTTTGGTGTTGTTGATTTGTTGGTGTTGGTGGGGTTTGTTGGGGGTTGTTGTTTTTGTGTGGGGTGGTGGGTGGGTGGTGGGGGGGGTGTTTTGTTTGTGATGGGTTTGGGGTTGTGGGTGTTGTTTTGTGTGTTTTGTGGTTTTTGGGTTGTTTTTTTGTTGTTGGGTTGGTGGTGGTTTGGGTGGTTGGTGGGGGTTGTGTGTGGGTGGTTATTTGATTATTTTGTGGTTTTTTATGAGGTTGTTGTGGGTGGGTGTTGTTGTGTGGGGTTTGTTTGTGTTGGTGTTTTTTGTTGTGGGGAGGGGTGGGTGTGTGTGGTTAGTGAGTTATGTTTGTTGAGGTGTTTTTGTTGGTGTGGTTGTGTTTTTTGGTAATTGTTGTGGGTGTTTTTTGTTGGTGGTTAATTGATTTGGTTATGTTTATTTTGGGGTTTTTATTTTTGTTGTTTGGTGTTGATTGTGTTATAGGTTTGTTTATGTTATATTGGTGTATGTTTGGAGAAGTATTTGAGTGTTTGTAATGGGTGAGTGATGTAAGTTGTTATGGATAAAAGTTTGGGTTGTGTGTTTTGTGATTTGAGTTATAGGTTAATGTAGATTGATTTGTGTTGTGGTTTTTTTTATGAGATTGGTGTGATGTGAAGGGAGAGGGAGTTTGTGTGTAGAGAGAGTAAGAAGATTAGAGAGAGGAGAGAGTGAGAAGAGAGAATAGTAGATAGAGAGTTAAGTTTTGAAGTAGTGTTAGATTGAAGAGAAGAAGAAGAAGAGAAGAGGAGAGTAGATATGAATGTTTATAAAGGTGAGAAGTAAGAAGAAGTGGTAAGGGTGTAGTGATTTGAGTGAGAGAGTTTTGAGAATGTGAGTGATGGAAAGAAGGGAAGATTAGAGAGTGTGTTGTAGTGTGTGTGTGTTTTGTGTGTTTTTTGGTTAGTTGATGTATGTGAGAGTTTTGTGTGTGTATGATTGTGTGTTGTGTGTGTTGAGATGAAAGTGTTGTTTGGGTTGTTTGTTTTTGTGTTGGTGATATTTTGTTTGTTTGTTTTATTTGTGTTGTTTGTGTTTGTTGAGTGTTGTGTGTGAGTGTTTGTTTTGTGTGTTTTGTGTTTGTGTATGTGTGTTGAAGTGGTTGAGTGAGTTTGTGTCGTTGTCATGTTGTTTGTTGTGTGTTGTTTGTGGTGTGTAGAGTGTAGATTGTAGTGGATGAGAGATGTGTTGATGTGTTTGGTGTAATGTTTTATGTGAGTGGATTGAGAGTGTGTTGTGTGTGTGTGTGAGTGGAAGTGTGAGTGTGTGTTTATGTTTTTGTTGTAGTGTTGGGTGTGTGTTTGTGTGTTTTGTGTTGTGTTTTGAGATTTGTGTTGTGTTTTTTGTTGTGTGTGTGTGTTGTGTTGGTTGTTTTAGTGAGTATTTTGTGTGTGTGTTTTTGTTGTGAGTTGTGTTGTGTGGGTGTTTTGTTTGTGTTTTGTGGGTTTGTTGTTGTTTGTGTGTGAAGTGAGTGGTTAGATAGATGTAGATGTGAGTGATGAGAAGAAGTGTAGGTTGTTTGTGTAGAGAGTTGAGATTGTGTATTTTTTTTTATTTGTGTTTGGTGTTTGTTGGGGGTTGTGTTTTGTGTATGGTTTGGTTGGGGGGTGTTTGTTTGGGGTTTGGGGGGGGGGGTTAGGTGGGGGGTGGGTTATGGTGTAGTGGTGGTGTTTGTGTTTGTGGTGTTATAGTTGTTGTTTTTGTGTGTTTGGGGTTGTTGTGTTTTTTTTTTGTTTTTGATTGATGTTGGTGGTTGTTTTTGTGGTTAGGGTGTGGGGTTGTTTGTTTTTTGTGGTGAGGTTGTGGGGGTTGGTTGTTTTTGGTGTTTGGGGTTTTTGGGTATGTGTGGGTGTTGGTTTTGGGGGGGGGTGTTTGTTGGGTTGGGTTTTTTTGGTGTTTTTTTGGGGGTTTGTTAGGTTTTTTTGGAATGTTTGTTTTTTTTGTGGTTTGAGTTGTTGTGGGTATGGGTGAGTTTGGGTGGTGGTGTTTTTTTGGTTGTTTTGGATATTGAGTATTATGTGATATGAGTGGGGGGGTTTGGGTTTTGTTGTTGAGGTTGTTTGTTTGTTGGTTGTTTAGGGTTTTTTTGTTTATGAGTTGGTTTGTTGGTTGGGGTGTGGTTGTTTTGTGGGGTGTTTGTGGTGGGTTGTGGTTTTGGTTTTTGTGGGGGTGGGTGTGGGGGGTGGAGGTTGTGTGGTTGTTGGGGGTTTGGGGGTTTGGTTGTTTGGTGTGGGGGTTGGTTGTGGGGGGGTGGGTGTTTTGTTTTTGGGGGTTTTGGGGTGGTTTTTGTTTTTGTTTTGTATGTTATGGGTGTTGTGGTGGTGGTAGGTAGGGTGGGTTGTATGTTGTTTTTGTTTTTTTGTGTTGTGTGTGTTTTGTTGGGGTGTGTTTGTTTTGTTTGGGGGGGTGTTTGGGGGTTAGGTTGGTTTGTTGGGTGTTTGGTGTTTGGGGGTGGGGGTGGGGGTATGTTGGGTGTGGGGGTTGGGGGGGGGGGTGGTGGGGGGGTTGGGGGGGTGGGGTGGTGGGGGGGTGGGGGTTTGGGGGGTGGGTTTTTGGTGTTTTGTGGGATGGGGGGGGTGGGTGGGGGGGTTGGGGGGGGGTGGTGTGTATTGTGGTTTTGTTTGAGGGGTTTTGTTTTGTTGGTTTTTTGGTGTGTTTTGTTTTTTGTGGGTGGTGGTGTTGTGTTTGGGTGTTTGGTGGGGGGTTGTGGTTGGGGGTGTTGTGGTTGTTATTTGTGTGTGTGGGTTTGGGGGGGGTGGGGTTGTTGTGTGGGGGTTTGGGTGGGGTTGTTGGTGTTATTTGTGGTGTTTTGTTGGGTGAGGGTTTTTGTTTGTGGGGGGTGGGGGTTTGTGGGGGGGTTGGGGTTTGGGGGGGGGGGGTGGGGTTGGGGGGGGGTGGGGGTGGGGGGGTGTTGGGTTTGGGGGTGGGGTTGGAGTGTGGGTTGGGGGGGGGTGTGGGGTGGGTGGTTGGGTGGGTTGTGGGGGGGGTGGGGGGTGGGTGGGGGTTGGTGTGGGTGTGTGGGTTGGTTGTGGTTTGTTTGTGTGGGTTGGTGGGTTGGGGTTGTTGTGGGTGTTGTGGTGGTGTGGGTTGTTTTGGTTGGTAGTTTTAGGAATGTTGTGGATAGTTAATTTTTTTTTTTTGTTTTTTGGTTTTAGTTATTTTATTGTGTTTTGTGTTTGTGTGTTTGTGGGTGTTTGGGGGTGGGGGGTGGTTGTGTGTTTGTGTGGTGGTGGTTTTTGGGGTTTGGTGGTTTGTTTGTGGGTTTTGTGTGGGTTTTGTTTGTTGTGTGGTTGTTTTTGGGGGTTGGGGTGTTTGGGGGGTTGGGGGGGTGGTGGGGGTGTTTAGTTTTTGGTGGGTTGTGGTGGTTTGGGTTGTGGGTTTGTGTGGGGTGGGGGGGGGGTGGGTGTGGTGTGGGGGTGGGGTTGTGGGTGGTGGGGTGGGTTGGGTTTTGTGGGAGTTTGTTGGTGTGTGGGGTGTGGGGGTGTTGGTATTGTTGGGGGTTTGTTTGGGGTTGTGTGTTGTGTGTGGTGTTTGTGGGGGGTTTGTTTGGTGGTGTGTGGTGGGGGGGTGTTGTTGGGGGGGTGGTTGGGGGTGGGGTGGGGTGGGGGTGTGTTGGGGGGGGTTGGTTGTGTGTTGTTGGTTGGGTGTTGGGGTTTTGGTGGGGTGGTTTTGGTGGGTGTTGTGTGTTTTGTGGGGTGGTGTTTTTGGGGGGTTGTGGGGGTTTTGGGGTTGTGGTTGTGGGGTGTGTGGGGGTGTTTGTGGTTTGGGGGGGGTTGGGGGTGGGTGGTTGGGAGGTTTTTTGTGGGTTTGGTGTTTGTGGGGGGTTGGGTTGGTGGGTGTGTTGGGTGGGTGGGTTTGTGGGGTGTGTTTGTGGGTTTTGTTTGGTTGTTGGGGTTGTGTGGGGGTTGTTTGTTGTGTGGTTGGGGGTTGAGTTTGTTTGGTGTTTTGTGTTGTTTTGGTTAGGGTTTTTGTTGGTGATGGTGTTGTAGTGTGGTTTTGGGGTTGTGTTGGGTGGTTGAGTAGGTGGTTTGGGGGTTTGTGGTTTGGGGTTGTATTAGGAGGTGTTTTGGTGGTGTGGTTTTGGTTGTGGTTGTGTTGGGGTTTTTGGGTGTATTTGGGAAGTTTTTGGGTGTTGTTGGTGATGGTGGTTTGGTTGGGGTTTTTGGTGGGGTTGGTTGTTGAGTGTTGTTGTGTGTTTTTTGGGTTGTGGTGTTGTGTTAGGGGGTTTTGTTGGTGTGTTTTTGTGGGTTTGGTTGTGGTGGGTGGTTGGTGGGTTGGTGTTTTGGTTTGTGTTGTTTGAGGGGTGTAGGGTAGAGGTGGTATGGGTTTAGAGTATGTTGATGGAATAGGTAGGTGGTAGTAAGGGGTTGTGAGGGATTGGTGAGTAGTAGTAGAGTGGTTTTGGGTTTGAGATGTGATGGTAGGAGGAGAGTGTAATGGTTTTAGTATTGTTGTTGGGATGTATTAGAGTGGTTATGGTTAGTGTTGTGTGGGGTTGGTTGGTTAGATGGTTTGGTTTGAGGTTTGTGTGTGGTTGGTGTAGGGAGGTATTGTTAGAGTATGTTGTTGGTAGTATTAGAGGAGGTATTGGGGTTGGTTGGTTTTGGTGGGTTTTGGTGTGTTTTGGGTGAGAGGTTTGTTGGGATGTATGAGAGGTTGTTGGTTTTGGGTTTTGGTTTTTTTTATGTGGGGTGTGGGTTGTTGGGTGGGGTGGGGTTTGGTGTTGGGTGTGGGTGGTAGGTGGTTGTAGTTGTTGGGGGGTGGTGTTGGTTGTGGTTGTTGTTTTGTTTGTTGGTTTGGGGGGTGTTTTGAGGGTTTTTTGTGGTGGGGGTGTGTGGTTTGTTTGTGTTGTTTTGGGTTTGGGTTTTGGGGTGGGTTTTGGGGTTTTTGTTTTATTGTTGGTTGTTGGTTTTTTGGGGGGGGGTGGTGGGGTGGTGTGGTTGGGGGATGTGGTTTGTGGGGGTTTTTTGATTGGGGGGTTGGTTGGTTTTTTTGGTGTGTTGTGGGTTTGTTTGGGTGGTGTGTTTTGTTAGTTTTTTTTGGAGTTGTGTTGTTTTTGTTTGTGTGTAGTTTTGATGTTGGTTTAGGGTTATTTATTTTAGGGTAGTGTGTATGGAATTTTAGTTGTAGTTGGGGGAGGTTTTTGGGTTTTTTAATTATATGGTAGTGTTATATGGATATTTTTTATATGGGGGAATGTTATTTGGGATTTTATTTTATTGGGTTGTGTGGGTATAAGGATTGTTATTAGATGGTGTGGTGTATATGGATATGGTGTTTATGGTGAGTTGTATAGGTTTGGGATGGTTTTGTTGGTGTGTGGGTTGTAGGTTTGTTTTGTGTTGTTGGGGGTTTTGGGTTTGTGGATTTGTGGTTGTGGATATGGGTTTTGAGTTTGATTGGGGGTGTGTGTTTTTTATGGAGAGTTTTGTTTGGTTTGTGGTTATAGTATTGAAGGAGTGGGATGGTTTTGGGTTTGTGTTTGTTGGTTGGGGGGTGGTTGTTTGTTTTTTTGTGGGGTGTGGTGTTTTTTTATTTGTGTTGGGTGTGTGTGTTTTTTGTTAGATATATAGGGTGTGGGTGTGTTATGGATTTTTTTGTTTTGTGGTTAGTGGGTTAAGTATATTTTATGTGTGGGGTGGGTGTAGGGTTGTTTTTGTGTGGGTTGGGTGTTGTGTGTTTTTGTGTGTTGGTGATTAGGGTGAGTTTTTGTTTTGGGGTTGTGGTTTGGTTTGGGTGGGGGGGGTGGGGTTGTGTTTGGTTTTGTTTGTTGTTTTTTGTTTTGTGGTTTGGATAGATGTAGGTGGTTTTTGTTTGTGTGTTTTGTTTTGTTGTGTTTGTTTTGTTTTTTTGTTGTTTGTGTTGTTTTTGTTGTGTTGTTTGTTGTTTTGTTGTGAGTGTGTTGTTGTGTGTTGGTTGGGTGTGGGTGTTGTTGTGTGTGTGTTGTGAGTTTTAGATGTTGTTTTTGTGTTTGTTGGGTGTTTTTTGTGTGTGTTGTGTGTTTGGTTGTTTTTGGTGTGTTTGTGTTTTGTTTTTTTTTGTTTGTGTTGTGTTTTTTTTTTGTGTATTGTGGTTTGGTTTTGTTTATTTTGTTGTTTGTTGTGTGTTAGGTGAGTTTGGTTTTATGTTTTGTTTTTATTGTTGTGTTTGTGTTGTGGGTTTTTGTTATGGTTATTTGGGGGATTTGTTTGGTGTAGTGGGTTTTGGGGTGTTTGTGGGTTGATTTTGTAATTTTTGTGGGTGGTTTTTTTTGTGTATGTTAATTGGTTGATTTGTGGGTTTTTATTGGGGATTGTAGTTTTGTATAGATGGTATGTTTTTTGTTGTTTTTATGGTGTTTTGTGGAGTGTTGTGTTGTTAGATGTGTGTGTTTTGAGATGATAATAGGGGGTGATGATAATAGGGTATGTTAATAGGGGGAATGATAATAAAGGGTATAATAATAGAGGTATTATAATAGGGGTAGTTAATTGGTATTTTTGAGGATTTGTATTGGGTTATATTGGGTATGAGATTTGGGGGTAGAGAATTGGTTTTTAATTGGATTAGATATAGTGTTTGATGTTTTGGTGGTGGTTAATGTTTGGTGGTGGGGTGTTTGGATGGGGTAGTGATTTTTTATGTGTTGTTGGTGGAGGGGGTGTTGTTGGGTGGATTTGGAGAAGTGAGCTTGGTGTTTGAGGGAATAGAAATATTAATGGGAGTGGTTTTTGGGGATTTAGTGTTTTTTGGAGGGTGGTTGGGGTGGTTTTGGTTTTTAGTGTATTTTTTTTTTTGTGTATGTTATTTGGTGGTGGAGTGTGGGGGGTTTTGTGTTTTGGAGGGGGGGGTGTGTGTATGGGTGGTGTTTTGTGGGTTTGGGGTTAGTGTAGGTTGGTGTTTGTGGATTTGTGTGTGGGTGTTTGTGTTTTTGGTTTTGTGGTGTTGTGGGTTTTGGTGTGTTGGGTTGGTGTTGTGTTTTTGTTGTGGTGTGGTTTGTTGGTGTGTGGGTGTGGTGGTGGTGTTGTGTGGGTGATGGTGTTGAGGGTGTGTTGGGTGGTGATTTGGGGTGTGTGGTGGTGGGTGTGTGTTGATATGTTTGTGTTGTGTGGGTGATTTTATTTTGTGTTTGGGGGGAAGTGGTATTTTGTTAGTTGGGGTGTTGTTGTGTGTTGGGGGTTGGGTTTGTGTGTGTGGTTTTGGTTGGTTATGTAATTGATTTTGTGTGTTGGGGTTTGGTTGGGGTTGTTGGGGTTGATGATATTGGTGGTGGGGGGGGGTTTGGTTGGTTGTGAGTGGGTTGGGAGTGTTATGTGTGGGGTTGGTTTGAGGTTTGAGTGAAATGGGGGTTAGAGTTATGATGGGTTAGGTGAAAGGGAGGTTTAGGTTAAGTGTGTTTTGTGGTTGTGGTGTTTGAGTGAATGAGGGTTGAGTTAAGAGAGGTTAGTTTAGAGAGGTTTGAGTGTTAGTGGTTTTGAGTTATGTAGATGTTTTAATTTTGTGTGAGTGGATGGTGTATGTTGTTTTTGTGGGGAAGTTAAGGGGAGTTAAGTGTTGAGTTTTGAGTGTAGAGATGGTAGTTAGAGGAGTTTTAGTTTTGGAGTGGTGTTTTTGGTGGTGTAGTGGTATGGTGGGTTTGGGGTGTTGGGGTGTTTGTTGTTGGGGATGGTTTGTTTTTGTTTAGTGTGGTTTTGTGTGTGTTGGTGTGGGTTTGGGGGTGTGTTGGTGTGTTGGGTGTGTGGGGGTGTGGTTGTGTTGGTTTGTGTTTTGGGTGGTGGTTGGGTTTGGTGGTTTGGGTTGTGTGGTGTGGGTTGTGTGTTGGTTGATGGAGGTTGTTGTGGTGTGGTGTTTTGTTGGGGTTGGGTTGGGATGGTAGTGGGTTTGTTTTTGGATGTGGTGTGTGTAGGTGTTTTTTTGTTTGGTGGTGTGTTTTTGTGGTGTTGTGTGTTTTTTATTGGGGGTTGTGTTGTTGGTTTTGTTGTTGGATTGGTGGTTGGTTTTTTGGGGGTGTGGTTTGTTGGTTGTTTGTTTGTGTTGTATTTTTTGAGTGGGGATTGGTTTTGTGTATGGGTTGGTGGGTTGTGTTTTTGGTTGGGTCTTGGTGGGTGTGGTTGTGGGTTTTGGGTTTTGTGGTTTTGGTGTGGTGTTGTGTGTGGGGTGTGTGGTTTGGTGGGTTGTGTTGGTGTGTTGGGGATTGGTGTGTGTGGTGTGTTGTTGTTGGTTGTGGGTTGGGTGTGTGGTTTTGTTGTTTGATGGTTTGGTGGTGTTGGTGAGTGTGTTTTGTGATTGTGGTGGTGAGTTATGGGGTGTTGATGATGTGGTTATGTTAAGGTGGTTTGTGTAAGGAGGTTTAGTTTGAAGAGTGGTTTAGTTATGAGGAGGTTTTAGTTATGGGAGGGTTTAGAGTGAGAGGAGTTTTAGTAGAGTGTTTTGAGTGGTGTTTGAGGTGGGTTGAAGTTATGAGGATTTAGTGTTAAGGGAGTTTAAGTTGAAGAGTTAGAGAATGGTGTAGAAGTTGATAGAGTTTAGAGTTGAGATGGTTTTTTGAGATGGTGTGGTGGTTGATGTTTGAGGTTTAGTGGGTAGTGTGGTAGAAGAGAGGGTTTAAGTTTAGAGGGAGTGTTATTGGAGTGGAGTTTAGTGTTAGTATTTTTGTGTTGTATGTGGAGGGTTGTGTTGATATGAATGGTTTGAGTTTAGTTAAGTTTGTATATTGAGGAGGGGTTGATGTTAAGGGAGTTTTGTATTGGTTGGGATTTAATTATGGAGGTTTTGAAGTTGGAGAGGGGTGGTGTATGTGTGAGTGGTGTGTTTGGAGGTTTTTGGGGAGTGTGTTTTGGGGTTAGGGTTGGTTGGGTGGTGTTGGGTTGGTGGTTGGTTTGTGGGGTGTGGGTGTTGGTTTTGTTGTGGTGGTTTTGTTGTTGGTGTTTTTGGTTTGTTGTTGTGTGTGTGTGGTTGTGTTGTTGGGTGGGGGTGTGTTTGTGGTGTGTGGTTGGTGTGTGTGGTGGGGGGTGTGTGTTTGTTGTTTGGTTTGGGTTTTTTTTGGGTTGTTGGTTGTGGTTGTGTTGGTGTGTTGTTTTGTTTTTGGTTTTGGTTTGTTGGTGGGTTTGTGGATGTGTTTGGTGGGGGTGTGTTGGTGTGTTTGTGGGTTGTTGTGTGTGTGGGGGTTTGGTGGGGTTGTTGGTGGGTTTGGTGGTGTGGGGTTTTGGTGGTGTTGGTTGTGTTGTTGGGGGGTGTTTGATTTTGTGTTTTGTTTGGTTTTTGTTGTTTTTTGTGTGTTTGGGGGGTGTGGGGGGGTGTTTGTGTTGTGATTTGGGTTAGTGGATGTTGTGTTGTGTTGTGTTTTGTTGTTGTGTGTTGTGTGTGTGTTTTTGTGTGTTGTTTTGTTGTTGTGGTTGTGTGAGTTGTGTTGGTTTGTTGTGTTGTGTGTTTGTGGTGGTTTTTGGTTGGTTTGTTGTTGTTGGTTGTGTTTGTTGTGGTTTTTTGTGTGTTTGTTGTTGTGGTTGTGTTGTGTGTTGTGGTTTGGTTTGTTGATTTTGGTGTATTTGATGAAATGTTGTTTTTGGTTGGTGGATATTGTTTTTGTGTGGTTTTGTTTTGTTTTTTTTTGTTTGTTTGTTGTGTGTTGTTGTTGTTTGGTTGTAGGTTGTTTTGTTTATGGAGTATAAGATAAGGTTTTTAAGTAGTTTTTTTTGTTGGTGTTTGTGTGGTTGTGGAGAGTGGTGGTGTTTTTAGTGGTTTGGAGTTGTTTTTGTGTAGTGTTGTGGGTTTGTGTGTTTGTTTGGGGGGATTGGTGTGGTTGTTGTTGGTTTTGTTTTTTGGTAGGTATATGGTTAGTTGTTGTTTATTTATTGGGGGGGGGGTATGTGGGTTTTTGGGTTTATTGTTGTTGGGGGTGTTTTATTGTGGGGGTGTTTGGGGGGTGGGGGGGGGGTTTGGTGTGGTGTTGGTGTTTGGTTTGGTGTGGTTGTGGTTTTGTTGATTTTGTGTTTTATGGGGGTATTGTTTGGGGTTGGGTTTTTTGGTTTGGTGGGTTGGTGGTTTGGGGGTGTGTGGGTGTTTGGGTTTGGGGGGTTGGGTTTTTTGGTTTTTTTGGTTGTTATTGATGGTGGTTTTGTTGTTTTTTTGTTTTTTATGGTGTGTAGGGTTTGGTTTGTTTGTTTGTTGTGTTGTGTTGGGGTTGGGTGTTGGGTGGGGTTTGAGTTATGTTTGGTTGTTTTGTTTGTGTGGTTGGGTGGTTGTGTTTGAGGGGGAGGGTTAGAGTGTTTTTATTAGGGGGAGTTGTATTGTTGGGATAGTATGTGTTGTGGGGTTTTGTATATATATATATAGATTTATTTAGGGTTGATGTAGAATGTAAGTTTTGTAATGTGATTATTTAATGAAAGAGGATAGATGGATAGAGAGGTGTTTTAATGTGGGGGGAATGGGGGATTTTAAGAAGTTAGATGAGATTAATAGTGTGATTGTGTGGGTGTGGGTTTTGTTTTTTTGGAGAGTGTTAATGTGTTGGGGTAGAGATGATTTGTAGTTTTGGTTGGTATGTTTTAGTTTGTTGGTGGTTTTGGTTTGGTTTTTGTGGTGTGTTTAGTTTGGGTTAGGTTTTGGGGTTTGGGGGTGTTTTATGTTTGTTTTTTTTTTTGGTTGTTGAGATGATTTTTTATTTTGTTGTTTTTTTTTTGTTGGGGGATATGGTGGTGGTGGGGGGGGTGGGGGTGGGGGGGTGGGGGGGTGGTGTGTGGTTTTTTGGGGTGGGTGGGGTGTTGTTTTTGTGGTTGTGTGGTTGGGTGGGTGTGGGGTTTGGTGTGGTGGGGTGTTGTGTGTTTGTTTTGGGGTGTAGGGGGTTGTGGTTGGTGTTTTGTGTGTGGGGTGTTTAGGATGGGGGTTGGTGTATTTATGTTTGTTTGGTGGTTTGGTTTGTTTGTGTTGGGGTTAATTTGTGTTGTATTAGGTATGTTTTGTGATTGTGGGGGGTGGTGGGTTTGGTTGTTGTGTTTTGTGGTTGTGTGTGGTGGTTTTTGTTATGGTTTTAAGATTTATGGTGTTTTTGTTTTATAGGGTGAATTATATTATTATTGTAGGGTTTTATTTGAGTATTGGATTGTGTTGGGGGTTTTTGGGTGTTTGTTTTGGATGTGTGATATATGGGGGTTTTTATTTTGTTTATATGTTGTGGGGTTGTGTTTGGGGGGGGTGGTTTGGGGGTTGGTTGTTTGTGTGGGGGTGGGGTTTGAGTGGTTGTTTTTTTGTTGGTTTGTTGGTTGGGGGTTGTTTGTTTGGGGGTTGTGGTTGTTGTGTATTGTGAGGTTGGGGGGGGGTGTTATGTGGGTGGGTTGGGGTTATTTGTTATGTGGTTTAGTTGGTTGTGTTTTTAGGTGTGGTGGTTTTTTGTGGTGGTAGTGTTTGTTTGGTTGGTATGGTTGTGTTGGGGGTTGTTTGTTATGTGTTGGTTATTGTTGTGTTTTTGTTTTGGTTGTTTGTTTGTAAGGGTGGTGGTGGTTATGGGGTGTTTGTTTATTTGTTTTTTGAGTGGGTTGGTTGTGGGGGGGTTGGGGGGTTTTATGGATGTGGGGGTTTTGGTGTTGGTTTGGTGGGGGGTTTGGATTTTGGTGGGGTGTTGTTGGGGGGTTTGGGTTTGGTGTTTTGTGGTTGGTGTTTTTGGGTGGGGGTGTTGGTGTGGTGGGAGTTTTTTGGTTGTGGGTGGGTGGGGGTGTGGGATTTGTGTTGGGGGTGGGGGGAGGGTTTTGGGGGGGGGGGGTGGATTTTTTGGGTGTTGGTGGGGGGGTGGTTGGGGTTGGGGGGGGGGGGGGGGGGGGTTGTGGGGGTGGTGTGGGGTTTGTTTTTTTGAGGTTTTGTTGGTTTTGGTGTGTTTTTTTTGGGGTGTGTTGGATGGTGTTGTGTTTTGTTTGGTGTTTTTTTTTTTGTTTGTTTTTGGTGTGTTGTTTTGTTTATTGTAGGTTTATGTGTAGGTGTGTTTTAAGATTTGTTGTTTTTTTTTATGGTGGTTTGTTTATTGGTGGTGGTGGGGTGTTTTGTTGATTTTGTTGGTTTAGTTGTTTGTGTTTTTGTTTTATGGTGTTGTTGAGTTTGTTTTTGTTTTTGTGTATTGTTTGGTTGTTTTGGGTGTGGGGGGTGGTGGGGGGGTGGTGTTTTGTTTGGGGGTGTGTGGGGGGGGGGTGGGGGTGGGTGGGTGTGGGTTTTGTGTGGGGGGTTTGGTGTGTGGTTGGTTGGGTGGTGTGGGGGGGGTGGGTGTGTGGGGGCGGGGTGGGGTGGGTTGTTGGGTGTTTGTGGGGTGGGGTGGGTGGTGGTTGGGTTGGGTTTGTGTGTGTGTGGGTTGGTGGGGTGGGGGGTGGGTGGGGTGGGGGGGGGGTTGGTTTGGTGGTTTGTTGTTTTGGTTAGTGTTTGGTTTTGTGTTGGGTGATGTTTTGGGTGGGTTGGGTGGTTGTTTGGGGGTGTGGGGTGGTGGTTTTGGTGGGGTTGGGTTGGGGGGGGGGGGGGGGGTGATGGTGGTTGGTTGTTGTTGTGGGGGTTGGGTTTGGTGGGGGTTGGGGTGGGTGTGGGTGGGGTTTGGGGTGTGTGGGTGGGTGGGTTTGGGTTGGTGGTGTTGGGGTGGGTGTGTGTGTTTGAGTGTTTGGGTGTGAGTGTTGGTGGGGGGTGGTGGGGTGTGGGTTGTTTGTTGGGGGGTTTTGTGGTGTGTTGTTGTGTGTGGTGTTGGTGGGTTGTGTGGTGTGGTTTTTTTGTGGTGTGTGTGTGGTGTTGTGGGAGTTAGTGAGTTGGTAAGTGTATGAAGGGGGAGAGTTTTGGTATTGTTGGGTTGGGTTTTGGTTGTGGGGTGTGGGGGGGGTGTTGGGTGGTGGGGGTGTGGATAATAGGTTTTTTATGGTGGTTTTAGAGGAATTGTATGTTGAGTGATTAGCTGTTCAATTGATTGTGTTGATGTGGTATAATAATGTATAGTTACTAGGATAGAATTTAAATGGTTTTGTATATGTAGATTTTTTGATTTTTAAATTAATTATGAAGTTTATATTTATTTTTATATGATTATGTGTAGAATATATTGATAATCAAGAACTGTAAATCTGATAAAGGGAGATAGAAATATATTAGGAATTATAAAAGAAATAAAAATCAATGAAAACACCACATTTAAATAACTAATGTAAGATTAGGTTTGGAGAATATAAATTGATATGGGGTTAGGGTATAAATTTTTTAATGAGATATTGTTATGTTTTGGTGGGGTGGATATTGTTGAGTTTTGATAATAAAATGGGTGAAGAATCGGGTCCTATAATGAAATGAGAAATTGAAATAGGTGAAATGAAAGAAATAATGAATTTTGTGTTTAATGAAATAATAAGAATGGAAATTTAATGAAAGAAAGAATGGAAATATTAAGAAAGAGAAGATTGAAATATTATGAAAGAAGAAGATGTGAAATATTAATAAAGAAAAGTTTGGAAAATTTAATTAAAGGAAATATTGAAATATTAAGGAAATGAGAAGATGTGAAAATATTAATGAAGGAGAAATTAAATATGTAAAGAAAGGAGGAAGGTTATTGAAAATATTAAGGAAGGAGTAAGATTGGAAATATTGTAATGAAAGAAAGATTGAAAATAATTAATAAAGAAAAGTTTGAAATTGAAATAAAGAAAGATGATATGATTAATGAAAAGAGAAATTGAAATGATTAATGAAAGGAGAATTGAAATATATAAGAAAGAGAAGTTGAAATGTTAGGGTGAATAAGGTTGTAGAATAATTGGAAGTGGATAAGGGGTGGATATGTAGTAAGAGGAAAATAAGTGTTAATGAGGGTTTTGAGGAGGTTTTAGGTAGAATATAGGGAATTTAAATTTTGATAGAGTTGATAAGTGGATGGGGATAAAAGGAATTTAAAGATTGTTGGAGGGGTTAAGATGATAAGATTTTTAGTTTAATAGAGGGTGAAAGGATTATTAGTTTAGGATGGATGGGAGTGATTGTTTTTATTTTAATGGGGGAATAGTGGGGTATATGATTTATTGTAGTAAGTTTATATAGGTTGTTTATTTTTATTGATGGTTGAGGATAATTAGAGGAGAGAAAAAATAATTTATTAAAATATGGAAAAAGATAGATAATATAAGAATAATAAAATAAATATAATAAAGGGAAAGAATTAAAGATTGGAGAAAAATTTAAATATATTATTAAAGATATTGTATTGGTAATAAAAATAAGGAGTATTAAGGAAAGAGATATTTAAATTTTAAATAATAGAATTAGATAAGTGGAATAAGATAATTTTGTTTGAGAATTTATGGTTAAATATTAGATATTATTTAGATAAGATTGATTAAAGTGGTTAGTTGTATATGAAATTGTTTAGTGGAAAATAATGAAAAATTGTGTGGATGATTTATTAAATGAAGATAAGTGGAATTATGAGAGTAAAAATTTTATAGGTTATGTTAGGAGGGGGGTTTGTGATTTTTTGATTATTTAATGTTTGTTTATTTTAGGTTTTAATATTTTTGTTTTGTTGTAGAAATGATATTATTATGTTAAATTAGTATTGAATTATGTGAATTTATAGGTGTGAATTAGTGATTTTATTATAGTTAATGTAATAGGTTAATTAGGGTAATTAATAGTTAATATGGAATTATGTGTAATGTAGATGGGTTAATTTTTAGGAGTAGGTTAATTATGGGGTATAATGTAGTAGGGATTATAGTTGAGTGAGTGAGGTTATTTAGAGTTTGAATAGTAGGTAATTATATTAAATTAATAATTAATTTATTGTTATTTGTAGTTGTTTAAATTATAGGGGATTTGGAGTTGTTTGAGAGTTGAATTTAAGTGGGGTTTAATTAGATAGGGATTTTATTTATAGGTTTATTAGATAGTTAATTTTAGGTAGTTATTGGGACTATGGTTATATATAGGGGATTGTAAGTTAATTATTGTTTAAATTAGATAGGTTGAATATAGTTATTTTGGTAATTTTATGTATTGATGTGGGTTTTTTTGTTAATTAGATGAGGGGATATAGTTTATTATAGGTGTAAATAATGGTTAAGTTTTTGGGGTGGGTTTGTGGTTATTTTATGATTTGGGTGGTTTATTATTTAAAAAGTAAGGTATTATTGTATATTATTATGTGTGGGTAAAAGAAATAGAAGGATTTTAAAGTAAGGAGGTGTATGAAAATTGTTGGAAGTTGAATTTTGTAATTTAATGATGTGGTATTTTTTATTAATTTGAATGGTGTTTTTTTTTTAGATTTTTTGTGTTAGTGTTTATTTAAGTTTGTTTTGTTTTGTTTGTTGGTTTGTGGTGATATTGGTAGATATTGTGTATTAGGGGATGGTTTTATTTTAATTTTTATTGATGGGTGAATGTTATTTAGTGTGGTGTTTTTTTGTTTTGGTTGTGGTGGTGTTTTTGTTGTTTTGTGGTTTTTGTTTTTGGTTTTTGTTTTGGGTTTTTGTGTGTGTTGTTTTTGTTTTTGTTTTGTTGTTTTGTTGTGTGGTTGGTGTTGGTTTTGTTGTTGTTGTTGGTTTTTTGTTGTTGTTGTTTTGTTGTTGTGTGTTTGTTGTTTTGTTTTGTTGTGTTTTGTGTGTTGTTTGTGTTGTTGTTGTTTTTTTTTTGCTTTGTTTTTTGTTGTTGTGTTGTTTTGTTGTTTTTTGTTGTTTTGTTTTGTTGAGTATATATTTTTGTTTTGGTTTTTATGGATTTAGTTGTTTTGGGTGGTGTGTAATGGGGTATTAATGAATATAATTTATATTATTGGGAATTTTTTTTTAGGTTTTTTTTTTTTTTTTTTTTTTTTTTTTTTTTTTTTTGTTTTTTTGTTATTATGAAAATAGATATATTATGAGATATTTTTATTGTTTTTGTTATGGGTTTTATATTTATTATAAGGGGATTAAGAAGAGAGGGAATTGTATTGAATATTATTTGAGAGAGTGGTTAAGGTAAGTTATGTAAAGAGAGGGGATGGGGTTGGGTAAAAAAATTAAAGATATAGAGATGGAAAAGTAAGAATGGAAATAATAGGGGGGTGGATGAGTTGATTATGTATGATTGGGGGGGAGGTAGTGGATTTTTTGATGGTATAGTTATTGGGGTTAAGTGTTGTTAATTAGTAGATTTAAATTTAGTAAAGAGAAATTGATATTAAGAGTGGTGAATGTATAATTGATAAATTGTGGGGATTTATTAGAAGATTTTATTTTTATTTTTTGTTTGGGGTTGTTTTGGTTTTTTTGGGATTTATTTTAATAAAAATTATGTATGGATATAAATTAATGTAGATTATGGATGGGTATGTTTTATAGTAGTGGTGTTGTTAGGGTTTAGGGTTTTTTATTTGGGATAGTTGGATGTGTGGATTTTTTGATTGTAATTTGTAGTTTTTTATGTAGGAATTTATTTTTTGTTTTTTAAGATTTAGTTAGAAGGTGAGTTTTTGATGTTTGAGAAGAGGAGGTAGTTTGAATTATATTGTAATATAAGAGTTTATGGGTGTGTGGTATTTGGGGGGAGGGGGGAAAATTGGGAGGTATGTAGTGGAGGGGTGTGAGTTTTTAGAGGGGGGGAGATTATGGGTGAGGGGTAATGATTTTTGAGATTTTTTTATGGAATTAGGTTGGGTGTTTGTGAATGGTGGGGTTGGGGAAGAGAGTAAAATAAATGAGTATGAGAGAGTAGTGAGTGAGTGATGATTGAGTGAGTAGTGATGATTATTGATTGAGTGAGAGATAGTGAGAGAGTGAAGTGATCTAGTATGAGTAGTGGTGAGTAAGGATGATGAGTAGTTATGAATAGTTAGTATAGTGATTAAGATAGTGAGAGTTTTGAGTAGATGATTGAGTGAGTTATGAGAGAGTGAATGAGTAGTGAGAAGTTATATTATAGTGGCAGTAAGTAGTAGAGAATATAAAGTGAGATGAGTATGAGTAGTGAGTGATGATGATGAGAGAGGATTGAGTAGTAGTATAGTGATTGAGAGTGAGTGAGTATGATGAATATGAGTTATTGATTGGGGTGAGGAGTATATGAGTGGAAGTGAGTATAGAGTAGTGAGTTAGAGAAAAGATAATATTGATAGGAAATGTAGGGTGGGTAGTTATAGGTTTTGATGATAAAGTGAGAAATGTGAGTTGAGGTAGTTGATATGGGTTATAGGAATTAAAAAAGAATAGGGGGGTATATTAAATAGAAAAATAAGAGAATTATGAAAGTAGTTAATAGAAATGAGTATATAAGATAGTGAGGATAAAAGGAAATGGTTGTGATTGAGAGAATTTGGTGGTGATAGGAGTTTTTTTTATGTAATTAATGAGGGGGATGGGTGATTTGTATGAGAGAATGTGGTGGATTGTTATTATTATGATATTTTTTTAGTGTTGATTAGTGATGGTTTGTGGGTGGATGATGGTGTGGGGAGGAGTTGAAGTGAAGATAAAGATAATGATATAAAGGAAGTTTATTATAAGTGAAAAAAGTAGTATAAGTGAATATATTAAATTAATGAGTATAAGTGAAGTGATATTAAGATAAAGTATATAAGATGGAAGTAGTATAATGAAGTATAAATATAAGTAGTATTATAAGATGAAGTTATATAAGATTAGATTTATAAATA